GGGGGGGGAGCATATAGTGTTATCCATGTCCTTCATGTTGCATCACAATTTATTGTCATAACTCTGTTATCATTATTTCTTAACCAGATTTTCATTAAAGTTCATACGAAAGTCAAGTATGAGCTCATATTTCACAGTCTCAAGGTCAATGCCAAGGTCACTGTTACTATTTATAGACATTTGTTAACCAATTCAGTGACAACGTTCTAACAACTTTTTTTCTTAACAAATATTGATAAGAAATTACATGAAGGTCAAGAATGAGAATACTTTGGATGAGCTCGTATTTTACAGTCTCAAGGTCAATGCCAAGGTCACTGTTACTATTTATAGAAATTTGTTAACCAATTCAGTGACCAAATCTAACAACTTTTTTTCTTAACAAATATTGATAAGAAATGATATGAAGGTCAAGAATGAGAATACCTTGAATGAGTTTGAGTTTTGGAGTGTCAAGGTCACAATTATTATTTATGGAATTTTGTCAAACAATGACACTTTAGTTAACTTTTTCTACACTACACAAACATTTACAAGAAAAGCTTGTTTCAACATATGTTTTGAACACACTGGTTTCAGTGAGACATCACGAGTATATGTTAACAAGTGATTTTTTATGGGAATCTTTGCAATCAGTTATGAATCTAAACTCAGGCAGTTAGTGTGTATGAAATGAATGCGAAAAGAAATATACAGCACAATCGATTTATTTCACATCTAATACTTGCTTCTCTAAAGGAGTATATAGAAGTAATATATTATGACTTTGAAGTTGTCGGAAGTTAGAGAAAAGAACTGCATGCCTTTTTTATGAGATTTTCAGATGAGATATTATTAGAAGACCTTATAATCAGTCTATTAATTTAAGAAATTATTTCCTTTAAAATGTTTTGCTGTCTCAATGTCTGTGGAAACTGGAAGTTTCCTAGGATCTGTAAACTGTCATGACACCTCGCAAATGTTCTAGTACATCACTACATTATAACCCATTCACCCCTGAAGTCACTTTTGAACCTTACCGAATCAAAGACTGGGCAAGTCCAGTTTAAATATGTAGGGGTGAATGAGTTAAATCTATCAACAATCCATCTTGTTTATGGTCATCAAGGCCCCAGGTGAATGTTGATTTGTTTGTTTACATGATGTTTACTTTATTTATTGATGGGCAAATGATCAGCTGCAAGCTTTCATTTTCATTACATTAGTTTCATCAGGATTGCTTATGTGCAATAATGTTGAGGTAGCTCTTTAAATCAAATTAATTTGCAATGTAATTTTACGTGTTAGCTGTGGACTAACTTAAACATACAGGTATTGATTTTATTGGAGTTATGTAATTCTACAAGTGATATGGTTGGATGATAATAATGGTACAGAATATTACATATAGTTCTAAAAAACACATCGTAATACGAATTTGAAAAGTTTTTTGTTTTGTTTTCAGTTTTGACAAAGTTAAACAATGTATAAATGTATATTAAGATTAACAGTATAAAAACAGTATTATTCTAAAGAATATGCTTTATTTCAACCTGTAATACGAAGTTTAAAAGCCCTTTTTTCAGTTTTGACAAAGTTAAACAATACATAAATGTATATTAAGTTTAACAGTATAAAAAAGTGTTACATGTATATCAAAACTTATGCTTTATTTCAACTTGTTTGCCAAATATTGAAATCCAAATTTCAATTTGTAAATCAACAAACATGTAATTCAGTGTGTTGGTAACATGTGTGTTTTCTTGCATTTTGCTTTAAATAGGATTTTGTACCAAAGCATATCCCATCCTATTACGCGATTTTTAATTATTAAAGGACTATGTCAAAACTGTGATATTAATTCTGTGTCCTGTATCTGTGGGATCCTGTATTGTTGTATTGATTTTGTGCATGTTGATGAATAAAATCATATTTATAATGGTAAACACTTCTTAATATTTTCTCTTTACACAATACCAACATATTCTGTGACTTGCTGAACATTTTTAAGGTGATGACTGCAAAGTTCGCTGTTTTAACTTTGTCGAACAAGTCCATCCAGGGTAAATAAATGTACCTCACTAGAATTGTGAAAAGATTCCTGTAGCACAACCAAAAAGTGTTTTATGTTTTTGGTTGTGCTACATGAATTTTTTCACATTCCATACTTACCAACATGAAGAAAATGTTTAGAAATACCTCACTAGAAGCAGAGTACAAGATGGCTTATATGAATTGATGAATTGACAAACATATTTATAAGTAAAAAAAAAATTGCATAAAATATGATCATAAATATACATATTTTTCATACATGTGTACCTTCAGTATGATAGAGCTATCTCCTGTAAGAAAGCCGTCTCTTGGGGTTGGAAGAAATCTCTCACTTAACATGAGCGGGAGCATCATGATGCCACAATTATTGCAAAATCTCTGTACCATTGTCTTGCAATCAGATGGAAGACACCTCTTTGAGAATCATCATTTCATTCACATGGAGACTTTTATGTCATTTGTTGAAGAGGAAAGAGAACAAAATACTCTTTCATATACAACAGTGTTAAGCACATCCCTGTGGTGTAGAAGATAGGGAAATTTTACACATGGGGAAATTAATTGGGACTGAAATACTTCGCAAAACCTTGGGTATTACTCCAATTCATATTTGTTTTGGTGGAAATTCCTTATATTCCTCACACAGAAATGAGTCTCTTACTCTTTGTGAAGTTACATGAACTTCAAAATCTAAATCTAACTTGTTGAACTTATTTAAACCAAGGATGACTTTTGTAATTCACTTACTGGTCGTGAAGTTAATATTGTCATGTTAATATAAGGGAGGAGAGCGGACCAAGATATGTTGCGTTAATATCTAATTAGACACATTTTAACCCGTGATATTTGTATCCGTTATGGTTCCTCTTTTGAACTCAAATCCCCTGAATAAATAAAAGTTTTCGGAAACTCCCATCGCAAAATCAACACACAAGAAAAGAAAAACATGACACTTGCATACTTACTTGGTGTAATTTCCATAGATATGTTGAATTTATTGACAAGTAACGAGATATAGGATGATTAAGTCAGTCTTGATACATTTAGTATCTCCATAGTCAGTTCTTAACCCTTTCACCACTATAGACCATAATGGACTCATCCAGATCAATGTATGGCAGAGTCTACTTAAGTTACCTAGGGGTGAAAGGGTTACCCCGGTAATCACCATTATCGGGTATCAAACTGTAGTACTTCACATTTCTGCCAGATGAAATTCATGGTTTACAGTGTCAAGATTTTGTTGCAGGTTGTTTATCTGGTCAGTTGAGTGTCAATTAAGGTTCCATACCGAGTCCTAAGACAGTATTGACCCGGTCAATCAGGTCAGATTTCTTGTCCTTTGACTTGTGCTGGATCCCTTTGTCTCTCAGCCAGGCAATCAGGGTTGCAGCATTCGCCTTTTGTAGCTTAAACAAGGAAAAACATTATTCAAGATTATCCAATTCAAGTGTGACATATATCAGTATTAGAATTTAGAATTCACACACCATAGACAATGGGACTATTGTTAAATTATATTTCGTATAGATCCACCCAACTTTTCATAGACCCACAGACCACACCTCGACCAAGAAAATTGTACCTATGCATGTGGTGCTAGCCTGATATTTATATATAACGTAATTAAGAAATTTTGTGTTATGATAAAAGAGAAAAAGTTATTTTACTCAACAATTTTTCTTCATTACAATTTAACGCTTATCAGTGAATCAAACACATCATAGGAAATAATGTCATGATGAATAAAGAAATTGGGAATTGGGTTGGGTTGGGGGCGGGGGGAAACACTGCAATTTGGTCTATAAAGTAAATTATTTCCATATAGACCTACAGTGTTTTTCATAGCATTGTCTATGGGTCTACTGTTCAGTTCTAACACTGCTTATTTGTCATATATTGATATAACCAGAGATATCAATATGTCAATATAACTTTAGGAGCTATTTATTTTTAAGCTCTTCTGGCACTATAAGTACTTATAAGTTTATGCAATGGTACAACATTGGTCATCCACTTTTTTCTTTGAACGACATCCTTGCTGCGATGAATGGCCATATGAAGGGCCATCAACTTTGTTCAAATACTTTGAAATCAGATATTTTCTTGGACCAAAATTTTGTGGTTTTTAGAGAGAAAAAAAATCATAGATGCTTACATGAATTTGGGGATTATTACCCACTTAAATGGAAAAGTTCATGTCAAACTTTGTGGACATATGAATTCATCGATTTACCCACATGCAGAGTCGACGAAATTGCGTTAAAAAAAACATGAAAATGAGTCATTTCTTAGTATTTAACTACCTCAACCTACTTGCAAGATCATAAGGGTCAAATAATGTAAGAAGAATCGAGCAGCTTTCCTGGAACACCTCAAGGCCTGGAGTCATATTATATATATATACATGCATTCAAGTGCTTATATTGGAGATATCGCATTGCAAATAAAAAGAATATATACTTCTGGTTTCTTAGGTATTTTTCTCTGGTTAGAAATATTTAAATATTCATCCAACTTTATGAAAAGGAATGTTGCTGGTATGTATTAATCAAGAAACAAAGGACAAATTCTGTGTATGTCTATAATTTTCACTTCAACTGTATATTTGAAATTATTTGTATTTAAGAGGAATAGTATAAGTTAATTGTTGCTGTTCTTGTCAATTGTGGCTTCCACGATCAACAGAAATCACACTTCGAGAAAGACTTGCCTGTAGCCCCTTACTGTGACCTCAATTTTTTTTTATCTGTGTAGATACATGTAGTAGTGGTAATGTCTGCAACACATGCTCAATATAAAGCTAGCTATATATGTAAACATACACCTTGGTGTAACTCAGAAACGAAATATTTTTATACACCAAGGGACAAACAATGTCATAGTATAAATCCCTTAAATTTAAGACAGGAATACCATTTTTTTTGGGGTGTAAATTCTCTGTTAGCACTAAAAACACTGGAGAATATTTGACAGGATATTGAAATGTCGGATAAATAGGGGACAATAATTGAAAAATCTTGTTGCAATACCTGGTTTGCCCTAGCAAATAATTCAACATCCAAATTTTCTTGTATCTGAGGTTTTGCTCTTGGTTTCTTTATCTTTGGTGTTCCTTCCTCGTCCTGAAATTAGAAGGTTATCATTGACATAAATGTTTTCTATTTTCTTCCAAGAAATATTTTATAACTAAATGTGTATGTTTAATTGCCATTATTTTTCTTTTGCTGGTAACAAGGGTTATACATGCTTCAAAAGGCCCTTTCAATTAATTGAAATGTTTACAGAAAACTTCCTGTTAGAGTTTTTTTTTTTACCTCCAGTCCTAAAAAAACAAAATTTTATAGAAAAGCCATAAAACACAATGAGAAATATGTTTCATATTTATAAGGAAACATTGTTGGGAGAAAAGTCAAAAGTGAGGAAAGAACTTGTGAAATCCTCTTAAAGTAAATGCTATGGCCCTCTTGGAACTTTGGAACCGTAGCTGTGGTATGGCGTCAGTACACTTTTCCTATAGAACCTTATAACACCTTGTGCAGAACAGCAGAGTGGACTTTGACTAAACTTGGTCTGGGGCAATTGTGTGCCAAGGGTCTAAATATCGTATAACTGGAGGGTGTGCCCCACTCACACACACACACACACACCAACACACACTTATAGGGGCATTGTACAATAGAACAAATAAAGGGGAAATAATCAAACATGTTTATCACAAACTACTGCTTATATCCGTATTTTACAAGGAATCCTAGCCTCATTTTCGAAGCCATTTAGACTGTAAGATGTGTACAGCTAATTTTCAGACCATCTTGGATGGATGGATGACGGGTTTTGCGCCTACATGAATCCGCCCTTACGGGTTTCATCTCACTGACGGAAGTCAGTGTTCAGTCGGCGTGAGGGAAGTTGCCTTCCCTCGGGGGGTGGTTTGGAGGCGTCTATTCTATCCTATCCTTATCTTGTGGTGTAATTTGGAGACGACTCCTTGGTCCGAAATGGTGTGTCTTGCTGGATGTTGTATCTGTGATTGTTGCTCCTTACTAATGTTTGTGTGTCGTTGAGGGGACTCGAAATTGGCCAATGTGGCTTATATTAATGTATATATGTACTAAAAAAAGAGAAATATTTGTCTATTTTAAAGTGTATTTATTGCATATATTCCTGTTCTTATAGGGAGGTATATATATTAGATTTGTTATGTACCTCGGGTCTCTTACTGCCGGTTGAGCCCGACAGTAGGGAAACGTCTCTGCTTCCGTTAGGTACAGTACTTACTTCTGAAGCCTTTTTAATGGTCCATACCATAGTTGCATTAAGTTACAAATATTCGGAACTATTTAACATAAAAACAGTTTTACGTGCTGAAGTCAGATTTGATGATCATAGTGCGCAAACTCCTTATCTAAAGGTATCTGCAATTGACTGCAAGAAACTAGGCATGATTTCAAGACCAGCACCGTTGCGAAACTGCCTTACTTTTGATAAATATTTGCATGCAAGGAATCCAAGGCTTGTTTTCAAAGCTGGTATAATTTCAAATCAGGCTTATTACTGAGATTTTAGGGTATAATTTCAAAGGGATGAAAAACAGGCTAAAATGTTCACATCAATTCCTTTTCCAAACTTTGTAGTGCCCTATACCTGTTTTGGTCTTTTCTTTGACAATGTAGGAGTTCCTTTTGGGGTGACCTGATGCACCTTGGGTGTGGATGGTATATGGAAGGAAGGAGTCTGTGGTGTCGATGGTGTTTCCAATGGTGTTCCTGAGCCAGTGTTAGTACGGGGTACCCTCACTGACGAAGACAACAGACTCGGAGTGTACTTCACTGTGGACTGCTGTGGTGTTTGTCCAGTCATAAAGCTGCCCTTACTAGAGTTCACAGGTTTATGTTTAAACGATGTTGCCACGGAAGGCACTATGGCTGTTTCTGATAAGACGGATCCATCTATCTGGCAATGTGATGGTTTCTCCTCAGTAAAACATGTAACTTTGATGGCTGGCCGTGTCGGTAGGTCCTTTCCATTAGGTGCTGTGCCATTACTGATTGAAGAAGATGGTAGGACAGATGAGCCAACAGTTCCAATCTTTTTAGGCTTAAATACTGGCACAGTTATTTGAGTGCTTGTTGCTGACGATCCAAATGTGTTGACGTGGTTGGATTTTTGACTATTAAACTTCTTGGCAGCGAAAGATGGAATAATTCGTGAGCCTGGTATAGGGGTTGGTTGGGTGCAACTGTTACCTCCAGATGTCCGAGTTGACTGTTCGGATCCTATTGTGTGCTGCGACGTATCACGATACACCTTATTTGCAGGATCTCTTGTTGAAGAAATTATCTCCCTTTGGTGATTACTTCCAGACCGAGGTACACTAGACATTGTAGCCTCACTATGAGTCAACTCATTTCTACTCTGGAATATTCCATCATTGTCATCCTGGTGTACAGGAACCCGGCTTTGTGAGTCCCGAGGATGGTTGTTGTCAATCAGCTGGACGGTCGATTGGGAGCTTTGTGAGGCACTATGTGTTCTGTTTAGCATTACCTCCATTTCATCTTTGCTGCGGTAAATTATTTTTCCACTTGATGATCTGCCTGACAGGTTTGCCTGTTTGGACATCTGATAAAAGAAAATTAATGCAATGTATTGTGAATAAGCGATGGGGTGAGGACGGATTATAATCGGTTTGCCCTTTCCAATCCTGATTATCAATTACAAATTCTGTAATCGATATTATCGGTTCATTATTAAAATCAATGTATCAAATGTATACAATGTAAAATATGCATTGAAAGTCAATGATTCTTACGAATTTTTACTCTATTATTGAAAAAAATGCTCAAAAGTTGCTTGAAATCCATTCATCATATAGTTTACAACTCTGTCTATTGATGTAACAGTAGTGTTCTCGCTTCATTTGGGTATTCAGTCTCATGAAATTACAAACCAATCATGCCATTGATCATCAATTGGTCTACCGTTTCTGATTACAAAGCGATTATCAGTTATGATTTGAAACCAATTACCCATCACTATTGTATATGACATTGTTCATCAGAATGTAAAAAGCAGAATTAATTTTTATCCAGAGGCTAACTTTGAATACCACCATGTGAAATCCATACCATAAAGTATATACTTATGCAAAAAAATCTGTGATTGAAGAGGACAATCTGAGTTTTAATGCAGGAATTAAGTGTTTCTGATACCAATTATGCTGCATTCAATTATTAAGGATGAAGTGCATACGTATTTAGATTCTTACACAAAAGCTATTGTTTACAAAATGTAAGTTGCATATGCACAGGTTCATGATTTGTAAGATGTTTAAAATTTCTTTGGAATGGGTGTGGACAGGTGAAAATACATTCTTGCATAAATCACCAACAATTTGTTTTCTGTACCTAACTACCTATTATAATACTCATTTCAGACACTACCAACCTTGAAATAACACTAAAAGATCCTCACTGTTTTCTATATAATATATATCAGGAATAAACATATCCAGGGCTATTTTGGGGCTGAATTTTGGCCCGATTGACAATGGAGCATGTTGGTATTTTTTCCTAAAATCTTTCCCGAAATTCCTTATAAAAGAAAAAAATATATCTATCTTAAGAACATTTTAATCTTTTAGTTAAAAGTTCCCATTTTCACTACTGTAACACAATTTTCCCAATTCTAATCCAAACTTTGATATCCTGAAAACTTTCATTTTGTCCAGACAGTGAACCAAGTAAAACTGATGGTATTACTAGCATTATTGAATGAAACACTAAACTTTAATCCAAGATTGTTTTTCTAAAAGTGTCCAAATAAATGGGATTCCACTAAACAATTCTGCATTGATATACAAGTTTACCTGTAGGTTAGGTGGTAACAACTCTAGGATTGGGTACTTGGCTTTTGTTTGTAGCCTGAGAGGAATCCCACAGATACTCGACATCTTGCTCTGCACACCCTGGAGGAAGGCCGTCAGTATAGGTTTTGGATCTACACGTGGGACCCTTTGGATGTCACTGGCTCTCAGACAAACTTCTGGGTACGTGGAGGATCGTCGTCAAGGTCAAAGCTATACCATTTATTATCAATATAAATGAATGACTGCATGTCATTAACAGATTTGTGCAACAAAACATAACTTTTTCCTGCATTCATCATTCAGGTTTGCAGTCATCCCATGAAAATTTTCGAACTACAGTAACCAGTTAATTTCTACAATTAATTAAATAAAGAATATGTTAAGGAAAACTTCAACAGAATTGTTAAAGCATATCTAAACAAAGAATCTGAATTGAAAATATGAAAAAATAGAGATTCTTTTTATTTTTAACAAATTGTGCAGATTTTTTGTCAGCAAAATAAAGAAAACTTAAATAAAAATTCACACAAAACAACATGTTTTCATGATGCTTGGTTATAAATATGGAAATTTAAGAAATCTTTACGATTAGCCAACAAAATTCAAGTAGGTTTTATATCTTTTCAAACTTCTCAGATTCTTTATAATTGTCAATCCAAGCATCATAAATTATGTCTCTGAGACTTTTCATTTAAAAGCGTTACAGAAAATAAAAGCTTCAGTTCATCTCTAAAAACACATTTGAACTCCTCCAATTCAAAGGTTGGAAGAGTTCATTATGAAATTTCAGGGAAAAATGAGTTAAAGACATGAATCAATGTGTTGGATAAATAATTTCAAAATGTGTATAAATGAAGGATATGTGAATATTCTTCCTCCGAGAGGTCGAAAATGAACTTGGTAGTAAATTATTCCATCCTCTGACTCTGGCAGACGATAACCATACTATAAAACAAGAGAAATTGTATATCATAGTGTTAATACAGGATTGCAAACATATCACAAATAAAAAAGTAAAAGTGTAAAACATAATCTAAGACTTAGTACTGAAAAAGGCGGGTTAGGTAAACTTACTTGCAGATCAAATGGTTCGAGTATTGTGCTGAGCAATGCTACCCTAGCAAAGTTTCTTTTATTTAAATTTTCCCTAATTATTAACTCATTCACCCGTGAAGACACATTTGAACTCTTCCAATTCAAAGGTTGGAATAGTTCATTTAATATGAAACTTCATGGTAAATGAGTTAATACAGTTTACCAGGAGATTTAAAGATCATATAACAGAAAATAAAATATAATTTATCCATCACCATGTGAATTATGATGCCATTAATATGGACACATATTAGCGCCCCTCTACCATTCAATACTCAAGTTAAAAGTAAAAAAACACAACTAAATAGACTAACCAAAGAATAAATATTTGATGTGCACAACAAAAATGTCTCAACTGATTTATGTATGTGCATGAATTTTCAGGTACATTTTCGTTTTTCAAAAAAAGAGTTCACCAAAAATATTGTCCTACTTGACTTCTATCATATGAAGACTTACAGTGTTTTTCCAGTGTCTTTTGAGGTCCTTGTAGGACTTGAAAGGCCCGTTCTGAGGTAACGTCCGGGTCACACCCACAACTTTACCTTTCTTCATGCTAAAATGGGGGAAATATTTAAAATGTCAGAGAAGTAACTTTATTTGCATGTATTTCAAAAATTTAGACAAACAATATTAATGTTAAGCTATATTGAAACTGAATAAACATCCATGAAAAGATATCAGTTGAGTGCTACATTTGAGTCCACATTCACTGGTAGTGCATTTTGTCATACAGGTTAAAATGGGGTAGTGAAATTAATTGATGTGCTGTACTAGGGACAATACAGTCTCTAAGGCAAATAGCCAAGACGCAAGTGCATTGACTACATCAATGTCCCTTGTTCCTTTTATCAACAGTGAAATGTGTAAAATTCTTAAGAATATTACAGTTATTGTCATACATGTGCCTACGTACTGCTCAGTAGAATAGAGAGTTGGCCATGCACCTTAAAAGCATAAAGCAATTTTTCCAGTGCCTTTATAGAACAATTAGCCTCACGCCAAAAGTGGACAAGTGCAATTTGCCATGAACATTGGGATATTCAACAATATGTAAGGTGCCTTTGTCCAGTATAATTTTCCTTGTGCTTTCGGATTATAAAATTCACTTAGATAAGTATAATATTTGTCTTGTGCCATATATGCATGCTAATGCAATTTGTCCAGTCAACACTGAACTTTTGCTATTTGTCATTTGACTTGAGCTAGTAGGAGGCATGGTGGTCTAGTGGTTGGACACGGGGCTCGTGATCGAAGGGTTGCGGGTTCAAGTCACGGCACTGTGTTTTATCTTTCAGCAAGATACTTCACTCCGCTTGTTCCAGTCTACTCAGCTGTAAATGAGTATGTGGTAGGGCAGTGCTAGAATTGTAGAATGCTAGAAGAACCTCGAATTATTATCAATTATTATAATGAAGTTGTGTTCCTTACCTGGGTAGGACATGGGACCATGGAGAGCCTATAGCTGATGCATCTATTTCTGCATGGCGGTACTGCATGAACTCTTTATAGCATTTACCGTATATATCAAGGTCTTCAACCTGAAACAAAAATCACCCCTTCATATTTCTTGTGATTTTCAACAGATCTTCAACAGATTTTTTCTTCTTATAACTCTCTTATATACATTTTGAAAACTTTGTGAAATTATTCTATAAGTTCAAAGTTTGACACCAGTGTTTGTAAGAAAAGACAAAGAAATCTTAAGGTTCATTCTTTCTTAAATCTTATATCATAAAACTGTCTAGGGTTTGGTATTCTGCATTCTTGAACTGCATTAAGCTATACACAGTGTGCTCCTTGGCAGATTGAAATTTAGTCTCAATTTAGAAGCTAAACTACTACTCCATCTAAACAATAACTTTTTGTTTTGAATATTTGAATCGTAATTTTTGTATCATGCCAAGACTCACATGTAGCGGTAGGAATTTTACAGTTGTGGCATCCAGTGAAAAGTACATCTCCTGCTGGTTCACTGTTATATCTAGCTCTGTGGAACAGAAACAAATATCAAGTTATAGCTAGTTCATTTTATTTGCATTGAATCTTATATATTTAAAAGCAGCTAACCAATTGAGATAACCTACTGCCCTCCACTCAATGTTCGACCTATAACATCATTTTGACAATTCTTTTATTAAGGTATCGTAAGAGTAACATCAGGTATTTAACATATATGTAAGTCTTTTCCATATTTTCCTAGAAAAAAATTCTGGTAAAATTTGAACACTAGGAAAATGAAATAAATCACTCAGTCATGGAACTGACGGAAAATAAAAACAAAATGGAACTAAGACAGATATTCATGTGGTGGTATTTTAGTTACAAGAGGAGAACATTTTTACCTGAAACAGGGAAAAATAATGCCAAAATTGGAGAGGGGAATTGCCCCATATTCGGCCATAAGAAAGGCCTGTATATATCCATGCAGAGCCTTGATTCCTGTTAAATCCTGTACTTACTCACAGCATTTACATAGCCATTGGATGTTAGGAAATCTCTACCTGTAAATCAATGAAAAGAATATATATAAACACTCCAAACACCCCAAAAAATACAACACATTTATACAATCATGTAGTTCTAAAGTGAACACAAATCTCAGAAGCTGATGTTAAACTGAAGGATAAACTTTAATTTCACAAAATGAAATACTTCTTTTGCAAAGTTGCAGACATATTTCGGCCTGCTGTGCAGGATATTTCAGGGCACAAATTCTTCTATGACTCAAACTTCATGTAAGTCTTAGAAGTAATATTTTGTAAAGGGATTTGTGTTCCATGAGGTATCTACCCGAGACTGAGAGGATAAACTTCAACATCCTTTCTCCCCTACATTCAATAATATTCCAGAAGTATATTGTTGAATTAGAAGTCTTCTAATATATTTTGAATTTTAGGACATTTGTGAAACCAGGCATCATTTACATCAATGGAATATAATAAATTTCATTAGGAGACAGACATAAAATTTACAGGCCCCCTGCATTTATAAGTTATGTAAGAAAAAAGTAGGGGCAGCGATGGCCAAGTGGTTAAGGCATCCAACATTCTGCTACCACTAGCCCTCCACCACTGGGTTGCGGGATCAAGACCTACATGTATGTGGGGCAGTCGCCAGGTACTGACCATAGGTCGGTGGTTTTGCTCAGGGAACTTTTCTCCACTACAAAAACCTGGCACATCCTTAAACGACCATAGCTGTTATTAGGATGTAAAATGCAAACAAACAAACAAACAAATGAAAAAAGTATCTGATTACCCTGTATCAACCATTCGCCAGTCTTATTCCAGTTCGGAGCAATCCTGGCAACTAGGGTGTATCTGAGACAGGCCTGGTACATTGCAGGGCTTACCATTGTAGGCTTGCTGGCCTGGAATGAAAGTTTGTTGATAATGAAACACCAATCAAATATTTTTGTATAGTAGGACGAGGAATAGTGATAAAGATAGTGCCGTCCCTGGGGCTCGAAACCGCTACCCTTGGCTCTCCAGCCTGATGCTCAACCAATGAGCTGAAGGGAAATTTCTTACAGATGATGCTTGTAAGGAAAACCTAATCAATGCACTTCTTTTACACTATTATCAAATTTCCGGCCACCTGGCCTCATATAAAGCTAAAAGATTTTTTTCTGATTCTTAATAATTGTGACATCATGAATCCTCGTCAAGAAAATATATATTTATAAATCATACATGAATTTCTGAAGGAGTAGTTATCAATGACATATCATTTTATGACTGGGCCAGACTATCACTTCAGGAAAGTACTGAGATGGTATCAAAGCTAGTGCTTCCCAAACTACAAGATCCTGAAATTTAAAGGTAACTTTCTTCCAGCAGTTTCTGATTACTTTGTTTTCTTATCAACAAGTTTGTAAAATTGCATAATTTTTCTTTTTAAAGAAATATATATATACTAAATTGACATGCTGTATTGCACTGCCAGGCATTAATCTAATTATAGTAAAAAGGGGTCCAAATGGTGTTAAACCAATTCAAACAAGAAAATACTAAATAAATAAATTCTGTTAATCAGTGGTTTTGTAAAGACATTAAAGTTGGCAGTAAAATCAGGCATAAATCACAAACTTTGGCCCCTGTGTATGGCCTCTAATAATTATAGGGTCAAAAGCTTTTTTAGGAAGTCACATACCCAAACAATTACGGAGGTAAACAGAAATATTGAATTTTTATATTATTTTAATAGATAATATATTCATGAGAGTGATTTTTTTCGTTTTCTACATTTGCTATTAAAATGTTTGGGGAACTTCTATAAAAGAGGAAAAATTATAGAGGTGAATGATCTGATATGTCTGATTATCAGTCATAAAATCAGCATTTATGATAGTCTGACTGCATTGATGCCACAAATTGTAACAGTGCTGCTAATGAGGTGGGTGTATCTCGGCATGAGTGCCAACATTTGCCTCTTCAACCTTCTCCATCTTGAATGAGATCAGAATCTCTTCATGGAACCAGTAGCTTTTCTCTTTCTTTAATTTAAGAATTTTTCTTTGATAATAGTTTCCTTTCATTTGAGATGTTTTCTTTAACATTTTCAGTTTTCAGCATTTTATAAATTAATTTTCAAGCTTTTAACTTTCCAAAAAAATTGTTCAATTTCAGCCTTCTTCATACATGTATGTTCCCTCATGACATAATTTTCTCTTAGTTTTTTAAAAGAAATATGCAGAGTTTTATTACTTTTAATCCTTACTTTGAAAGTAAAATCACATAATAAAGGAATGGCTAGGGACTATATATCTATTACAGATAAAGGAATATTTCACTGTTATTTCATTTGCTATCTTTATTCTTATTTTTTTCCCTACAAAATATATGGATACACTTTTCAGTGTGTTGAAGATGTTACATTTTATGTTTTGACCAGATATCGAAGCAAACATTCTCTAAGAAAGTGTGTAGTATGAAACACAGGTAAATCTTAGGTGAATATGAAACAGTATATAATTGACTTGCCATTGTTTCATAAAACAACACCTGCCTATTGTTGATAAATATGTTGGCACTCAGAGAACACCTCAATGTGGGGCTCCCTGCAGATTGAGACTTTCCTTAACGTTAGATATGTTTCCTGTGTATAGGGACCATGAAACAACCGAAGGTGATCTAGCTGTTCCATTTAATTTTAAGACCAATTTAAATGCACAGGTCATCATTTGATACGTACCTCAAGACCAATTTTCTGGAACCTTGCCTGTAACCTTCCAGTCTTATAAAGCGATTGCTGTAAAGACCAAAATTCACGTCTTTCATAATCAGGATGTTGAAAAATGTACTGGCAACCCATTTTCAGGTTCAGATAATGTGACAAATGCACAAATTTAACACTTTCCCAGCTGGGCAAGTAGAATTAATATTTTACAGTATTTTGCAAATTATTTGTTAGTAAAATCATATAAAAATTAATAAGAAAAAACAACAACAGTGCAAGTTGAATTTTCATTTGGGTAAGTGCATTGGTGATGCCACAAGTGCAATGTATTTTTTTAGATCCCTGCTGACAGAAGATAAAAAAAAACACTTACCAAAATCTGATACAGTGTTATGAGATCAGGGTCAAGATGAATTATTTGTGATAAATGAAATACAACACTTTGTTTTTTACATCATAAATATTGCTAGTATTTATTACCATTTATTATAGTATTTGAGAAAAATATTTTTGAGACGTACAAATTATGTAAGAAAAAGTTACCTCCATGACAACATAGAATGCATTGCTGACATCATAAGCTGGAGTAGCAATGATAGTAGGCTCAGTGAAGATTATTTCTCTGAAAAGCAAATGTAATGCAAAATCTTTTGAATGTTAGACCACAGTACAGTATAGTAATATATGCAAATGGGACCAATGACTCTACTGTAAAGACCGATTTATTTTACATTCATGACATTTTTTGTGTTCATACATAGGTATTTAAATACTTATTTGTAAACCTATCATAAATATATATGAAATGAAAAAGTAGAAAACATGTGTTTCATATGATGACTGGTTAAAAGCCTACCTGCATTTGAGTATTTGGGGTTGTACGGCAGACGACTGTTGCGCGATTTGCTTGCTCAATTTTGCTGTGACAACACAGAGTTCGTTCAGAATGGGAGGGTCAGCGAAAAGAAGAATCTGTGAAGGAGCATTCGGTTTGTCGTACATGTCGAAAAAATTAAATGTAGGTATGCATGCAACTGATGCTCTTCATGAAAAACAAATATTTTATAGTATTTGCTCTGGTTTTGTTAACGATAACTCATCTAGACCTTCGATATTCCCGGGTTCCATAACTTTTATTTTCGTCTGCTCATCGGGATCACTCATGCGTTTGACTCCCTCGACAAGAAGCTTAAATGAGGAAGTGACACGTGCACGTGCAGTTTGTGAATTTGGAATGTGAGCGAACACCAGAAGTTATTTATTTGGTACCACCGTAACGTGTACTGCAATATCAAGTGAGTAACCGATTGAATACTTTCCCATAAAATGATGAGTGGTACCATATTTGTGCACAATTAGGACTAGTTATTTTGGTGGTAATAGTCTTACAGCCAAGGAATGTGAGGGGAAAATATTGCCATTTTTCCAGCGATATGTTATAACCCTAGGACTTGCAATGTATTGTATGGTCTGCAAAAGTAACATATTAAGCGATTTAAGGGATTAGATCAACCACCCCACTGATTTTGATGTTTCAAAGATTTTTTCAGTCATAATCATTACAGCCATTTTTTTGCAATGTTGTTCAAATGAATATTTTAATGAATGACCGGCTAAAATTGATTAAGTCCCCTGCACTTCCATTCAGGCCAACAAGAGTGATTATATAAATATATTGTGAAAAAGGTTGTTTCGTAATTGTTGTATAATAATAAAATTTGCATCAAAATTTATTACAAAGTGTCAAAAGTTATCCGAAATAAAAAAAAAAGTATTTTAAATAGTTGGTAATGATCTGCATGTCTAGTCAGCCTGTTGATTGAGGTATATATATATATATATATATGATATTGGTCTTTTGAGCTATTTTCACATAATTTTAGTTCTAAAAGAAAAGGACACAAAGTCGCATTTTAAAGAAGATTTTATCACTGTTTTGATTAGTAAGGACATCAAACAAAAGTTTCCTTTTAAAAATGTACTCTATGCAAAAGCTGTAAATCATTGATATAGATATATATAGGTCTTTACGGCTATACCACTCAATTGGCAGAGTGTACTGGACCTTCAAGATCCCAAGATTAACACCAAGGTCACTTTTATGTCTTTATATATATAAGTCAACTAGATTAAAGGCAAAGATATCGATGTAAGGAAAGTTTCAAACAATGAAACACATTTTACTGGGGCAAGGGGCATTCATGTCCCACAGATACTTTTCATGAATTCCAATGTGCTGATACAATTCAGCATCAATATCAAGCAAGCATGCCTGCCTCAGTTTTAGAGGACAGCTGTGCATTCATGCAGGAATATTCCCAACCTGTTTGAATGATTATGGTCCTCCTTGATTGAGATGGTTGTAACATGATGCTGTTATTTTTGTTGTGAATTTCAAGCCTTGTCCCCTTTCACCTTTCTTGTTTGTTAATACATGGTGTTTTTTTTCAAATGTTGATCTATACATTTCTTTCTATTTTCATTGATTTGATGTGGTTTCAGTCATGCATGTAACTGATGATTGCAAGAGTTTGATTGCGGGTATAGCATGCAGGCTTCCAAAGTCCAGCAATTTACAGGTAAGTTCGAAGTCTAACATACAGGTAACCAAAAATGAACAGGTAACAAAGTCAGTTGTACAGGTAACCAAAGTTAAACTGTACAGGAAAACAAAGTCCAGCAATTTACAGGTAAGTTCAAAATCTAACATACAGGTAACCAAATATGAACAGGTAACAAAGCCAGTTGTACAGGTAATCAAAGTTAAACTGTACAGGAAAACAAAGTCCAGCAATGTTGAGGAAATCAAAGGCAGATAATATTTTGTTAAAAAAAAAAGAGGTTTATTAAGATTAACTCGTTCACCCCAGCATATCTAAACTGGACTAGCCAGTCAAATATGACTTTAGGGTGTATGGGATCAAAGTCAAAGTCGCCATCAGATCAGATCTTAATTTAATCTTGTTGAAAATAATTTGAATGTAAGTTTACTGTAATAAACTGCTAAAAGAGACATAAATGTACCAGTAAACAAAGTACAACATTGTACATATACTTTTAAGTCCTACAAAGTAACAGGTGCTTGACATATTTAATTTGGTTGAAAATGGTTTTGTTTTCATTGTATATATTTTATTTTATTTTGCCAATGGACATGAGAAGACTGAATACCAGGACGTCTTTGCCCTGTTAAATGTTCATCCTACACATATTATCCCAGCATTGATCTTGCTTTCACATCAGAAATACTATACAACCTGTAAGCTGTATAATAATACTCTCTGTCAAGATGAATCTGTCTAATTACAGAGGTAAACAAGATCATTAACTTGGGATGGAGCCTATTTGTTTCTTTTTAAGAAGAAAATATACCAATTGGGAAGGAAATTATCAAGAGTAAACTGCAAACTTTGGGGCTTAGTATTGTTTGATGCCCATTCCTGAATATGATCCGGAAGGGTTTGGTTTGGTTTGGTTTAGTATTGTTTAATGTCCTATCAACAGCTATATATGGTCATTTAAGGACAGCCTCCCCTGTGTGCAAGATGCATGTATGTATAAGTGTATGCGTGTGTGTTTTGGGAGGCTGCGATATGTTTGTGTTTGTCTCCTTGTGATAGCGCAGAACTGATGCCAACTTTATAGTGCTACTTCACTGAAACATACTGCCGAAGACACCCAGCAGGACACCCCATCCGTTCACAGTATACTGACAACGGGCGAATCAGTCGTCCCACTCCTAAATTGCTTAACGTTACGCAGGAGTAGAAATTACCATTTTTACAGACTCTGGTATGTCTCGGCCAGGGGACAGAACCCAAAGCCTTCCTCACAGGGGCAAATGCTCAACTAAAGGCCAAAAGTAGGGCATTGTCAAGGGAGACATTAGGAAGAAGAAAGTTGTTTAGAAAGAAGAGAAAAGATAACATCCCAAATTTAGTTGCCTCTTACGATCATGCAATGGGGTAGCAGGTACAATTCTTACGCCCTACCTGCAAATTTTGGGGATTAGGCATAACTATGAAATAGTTTCAATTGGGAATTTGGCCCATTATCGGTCAAAAAAAGTTCCCAGAAAAAAACACTGAATATCCGGCAAGTGCTGTTATCTAATCTTTGTTTTTCCCTACGCTAGGAATTCTGGGAGAATTTGATAGAGAGTCGTGACATGATTGACAAAACACGATTCCCCGAGGGATTGGATGGAGTGCCACCGCGAGCTGGCCTCATTCCTGATATTGACAAATTTGATGCCGGGTACTTTGGATTCACAGATATAGAGGTATGTATTTTCAGATTTTGTTTGTATGTATTTTCAGATTTTGTTTGTATGTATGAGAACTAATTTCTTTATTCAATCTTTTGTTTAGTTCATCTAAGAATGAAATCCTTAACTGAAAAAGAATCCTGTTTTCAATAATTATAATGCATTAAATATCTGTTGGGATTTGTTTTATTTCTTTGTCTGTGCTTTTTTTTTTTGCGGTAGGCTGACAGTATGAATGTGATGCTTCGACATTTGTTAGAGGTTACATATGAGTGTGTGTTAGACTCGGGACTACAAGAAAAGACCCTCCAGGACAATGTTACAGGGCTGTACCTGGCCTGTTTCCTCCCCGACACAGACCCCATAGAAACTACAAAGTACAGCAAGTCAAAACTGTGTAAGTTCCAAACTAAATACAGCAAGTTTGGAAGTTAGAAACCAGCTTCTCCAGGTCAAAGATGTCAGAGTCAGAAACCAAGTCCAATATGTTGAAGTTACTGGTAGAAATCAAGTGCACATAAAATGAAAGCTGTGTACTAAAGCTCCTTTCGAGTATCCGGTTGAACCGGTTTGTCTGTTTTTAAATGTAACATTTTCGGACATAAATCCTGGCGGGCCTGCAAACGTTTATGCAGGCCTTGCACTAGGCTTTGTCAAGGCTTGCCTGAAAACAGCATCAGATTACTAGGTCTGTCTTTACTTCATAAACGAACAACTCGGGGTTTAACCGGTTCAACGGTTTGGATAGCTATAAATGAATGCGGCCTTAGTAAATTGATACCAAATATTACAAGTCAAAGGTGTTGGGGTGAAATATCAATAGTAAAACATGTCAGAGATGTTAAAATCAGAAATCAAATACAGCACAACAAAACCATAAGTAAGAAAACAAATTGTTTCAAGGTGGTTAGCAGTGCTATTAAATATAATCCTTGAATAATCAAGTATATTACTCTGCAATAAGGCTGAAGAGCCAACACCTAATCTGTGTTATTTTCCTCTGATGAATTCAGAGCCTTATAAAGGCCCCTTCCCCTAAATATTTTCTATTGTATTTTCCAAAAATCATTGCCAAAATCACTTTTATTTACCCCAAATCATGCTTTTGGTGTGTGATATTTTCCAAAGGTCATAGGCCTCTGTCTAAAAGAGGTGTAGAATCACTGTTACAGGATATTTAATCCTTTCACCACTGTAGACCATACTGGACTCATCCAGATCAATGCATGGTAGAGTCTACTAAAGTTACATAGGGGTGAAAGGGTTAATAGTAAAAGTACAGGCATTTCTACTAAACTGTGAAATATAAAGATGGGCTTATTACCAGGCATGGGCCTAATGCTGGATAAATAATGTACTATTTGTTGTCGAACAGGTACAACAACACCTCTCCTAACAGGACAGATGACCAGCTACTTTGGATGGAAGGGACCAGCTGTGTCCGTGGATACTGCATGTAGTTCCAGCCTCTCGGCCCTGGAAATGGCTGACACTGACCTCAAAACTGGTCGCTGTCAATTTGCTGTCGTTGCAAGTATGATGGATTTCATGAAATCTAAACAGCGTTAATTAAATCCTTCTTACAATTCTGTAAACATTACGTATATTCAAAACTTTGAATCAGTTGGGGCTTGTTGATGTGGGGGAGTACTATATAGCTTTATATATAAATGTTTCTGTGTAATTTTGCCCAATCATAAACAGGGAGTTGGTGGTATAACATTTCCAATTTCTGTTGTACCTCTAGTGTTCAATACTTGACAAATACCTCAAGAAGTCTCATGTTGATATGCTTTGGGCCCAGAGCCAAAGGTCAAGGTCACTTATTATAAATAGTAAAAGTCCTTAGTTTTCATCAATCTTATGTGTGGATGAAATTTGACGCGAGTGGAAAACCTTGTACAAAATTGCGTTTTAGGGACCTGAGCTACTGAGTCCCTTTCAAACAAATGGTTGTCATTGGCATTTTTTGTATTTCCTCCAGGTGTGAATGTGATTATCAACCCGGTGTACCTGCAACAGATGGCCATCTTAGGCATGCTCAACCCGACGGGCGAGAGTAAAGTGTTTGACCGGGATGCCGGGGGCTATGTCCGGGCCGAGGGTGTGGCAGCCATCATTCTCACCAGGTTACATTAACCTTTTATGCCCCCGCCATAAAATGGGGGGGGGGGGGGGGGCGCATATAGTGTTTCCCACGTCCGTCCCATCCCGTCAAACAATGAAACTAATTTAACATGGTGACGGGGGCATTCATGTCTTACAGACATTTTCTAGTTGTATTGTTGAACTTTTGTCAAGGAACCTACCGGTACTTAGTATTGCTGGATGTCGAGGGCTACTGGCATATTTTTCACGGATCTAAATTCTGAAATGTTTGAAGACTTAACCAAGTGAGGGAAGGGTATTGATTAGCCCATTCACCCCTGAAGTCACATTTAAACCTTACCAAATCAAAGACTGGAAGGGTCCAGTTTAGATATGTAGAGTATGAATGTGACTTTATGTTGGTAACTACTGAAGTATCCTGATCAAACTGACATACACGCAGAACCAATGGAGAGCTTAAGATAATGGAAGCCAAGATCTGTACCAGTTCTATTGGGACAAATAACATCTTTTTTCACTTTAAACTTGACCAATCAGAGCACAGGGTTTCGAGTGAAAGTAACGAAGGGCATTATCAATTTTATCACCACATAACCAAGACAATTTGATACAGCATTCTCTTTTTCCACAACTTTTTGTCAGCATTAAAAGTGCAATATTATAAGACTCTTTCATGCACAGGGGTGAAGAATAGGGAAATTCCACCTGAGGGGTTTTCAAACTCGGGTTTTACCAAATTTGAAAATCCTGAGTGTAAGATATAAATTTTCTACACCCCTTTCTTACCCTGGACAGCTCTATCTTACACATAAGGAAATGAGAGAACAAAATATTCTGCCCACCAATGAAGTAAAATTGTTATTCATTAGGAAACTAAGAATGCCCTCTCTGTATTTCTGATGCAAGGGACCTTTCATTTGCCTTGACTATGACAGCCTTTTTTGTGGAAAAAAAAGAAAGGAAGGGGACCATTTCTTCTTGAATAAGCAAAAAATCAGTGAAATATTTGGTTGGAGCCCCAAAATAGTGCCATCAAAAAGGTTCACATAAAAAGCATTCAACGAGAATAGAGAGAAATTTTACTGATTGAAAAGGATTATACAGAACTTGGGTAATGTCGAGGCAGTAGGACAGACAATCTGATGAGCCACTTTCCTTCCCAAAAGTCACACAGGGGGGTGCAGGTTAATGTCATAACTGATGATGTGTTACAGGAAGGAGAACTTGTGTAGACACATCTACTCGACCCTGGTGGATGTCATGACTAACTGTGACGGCTACACTCCAGAGGGTAGGTGTGCTGCAGAACTAGGGGTGTCACAATACACCAAGAGTGACATCACAGTATATTGCAATACAGAATGAATATATTGCGATACGCATCCCGATATATTGTCATAGGAAGGATGTGCTCAATTTTATGATCAGTTGTTGCATAATGTTATCAAACTTAATCATATATATAATATGGATGACATAGATTTAAGATTTTTGCCAAACCAACCATTGATTACAAATTGTGAACTATTAAAATCCTGCTTTATGCTTATTGGCATATCTGTTAGAATTTGTGGTAATTTGCAAAGTTAAAACACCAAGCAGATACATTTAAGGAATGATTTTTATTTTTTCAACATTTATGGGGTCATAACAACAATGGGTTTATGGACATATTGAATGAATCGCGTTAGCGATTCATGTAAAATATGTCCAAAACCCCATTGTTGTTATGACTTCATAAATGTTGAAAAAATAAATATCATTCCTTATATTTACATTGGCGAATCCTTTCAGTGGATCGATATAACAACGAATAAAACAAATAAACAGGGTTTGTTCCTGCTTATACACGGGTGCACGAGAACAGTGTTTTTTCGCGGGGAAATGTGACACTATCGTGAGAGATCTTAGCAACCGTCAACAACAATAACACAACAAAATGTAGTTCCATATTCAATGTTTATTTGTAGCACAGGACACCTGAATACGTGGATATTTCACAAAGCACAGTTCAATAATATTTTAAGATGTAAGAATTAAGCATCTAGTTCGGTCGTTCCGAGTGAGTAGTTTTTGTAGTGTATTACTACGCAGTGTGATCAGGTTACTATCAGTTCGCACGTGCTGAGATTCTATGAACACCTGTGTTATGCATTTATGAATGTAATTTTTGTCAATGGGTCTAAGCATACAGAATGTAAATATAAAAATATGCTTTAAAAAAATACCGCGATACAACAATATTTCATCTCTGTATTTGTGATACGATATGCCTGTGTATTGTGATATACTTGTTTTCTGATATATTGTGACAGCCCTATACAGAACCTTTAGCAGAATGCCAATGTTCTGTTGGTCAAATAAAAATATTGAAGTTTCAGGTGTGATTGAAAGAAAAGTTTGGTTACAGACCTAAAACAGCATTGTGTAATTTTGATTTCTAAATCAAACAAAATCATGCAAAACCTTTTTAATTTGCTCAGGATGCATGGAAAAGATTATATATATGCTGCATGATCAATTGATAATTTAAATCTTTGCAAGGATCTAGCAAAATTGGTATTTGACATTCTACCATAGAGGGATAGGTCTATATATGTTTGGTGTTACTGTGTACAAGTGAGTTAGAGCAGGTTCATCATTAAACTTTATACATTGTATATATATAAAAATATTTTTCTAAAGCTTCTTTTGTCATTAATTTGTGTCAGGCATTTCTTACCCAAATAACCTGACCCAGAAGAAGTTGTTGGAGGCCATATACAAGAGAGCAGGAGTGGACAGCGACCAGCTGGCCTACATGGAACTTCACAGCACAGGAACAAAGGTCAGGCTCAAGGTCATAACAATGGGACAGAGAGATTTTGTATGGTAAAGGTCAATCAAGGTCACTTCAGGGACAGAAATACTGTGTTGTTAATGTCATCACCTCGGGTTCAGACATATAGTGATTTTAGAGAAGGTCTGTCTCGAGGTCAAAGCAGTGTAACACTGAAATATTGTATGAACTAAGTATAATAGTCGATTGTAGCAAGCTCAAGATAAGATGGGTTTGATTTACTAGGAAACGCCTACCGGTTTCGCCCAAACTGGGCTTATTCAAGACCATCCAAATTATCTTAAAAGGAGAAACGGCGTTGGCTCTATATATATATCTCTGGAACTACATGTATAAATGATGTGTTTCGAATCACAAATTTTTCTTATTCACCTTTAAAGTTACCTTTAAAAATAATCTTTCTCATCAATTAATTAATCATACAGATATACCATGGAAAAATGTCCATCCTAACAAGATACTCCAACAGTACTTAAAGGTTTACACGGCGAGATACTTTTGACAGGCGCCGTGTATCCGATTAAAAAAAGGCCAACCAGCGACCTCTTATGTTATAGGAGTACATAACAAGAGTACTTATTTTCACTTGAGTACCAGATAATAATACCTAATGTGATATCATTCACTTATAAATAACTTTAATTTCAAGCACTGTTATATATTTTGAACATGAACACCAGCAAGGTGAAGATTGTAGATGCCTGTTCAGCAAATTCTAGAGTATTTTGAACTACTTTGCAGATAGTTCTGGAGATGGCATACCTAGTGTGTCGAAACATGTAAACTAGAATAAATATTGCTGATTAACCCTCCGTCGTAGGTTGTCTAGCCATTTCTACCTAAATGGACTTTGAAGAAATATTTCGTTAGATGGTAAACATGAAGGTTGGTATAACCGATGTCGGTCTGGGGAATTAGGACTCAAGTCCATTTCCAGTTCGTTTCTTTATTGTTGCAAACTTCTAGTTCCTATACTTCTGCATACCATTGCTAGCACCTTCAATCTTAGCTCACTTTCAATCCTGACCTAATCTGGCTCACTTTCCATCTCCCAACTCTGCCTCTGTTCTGCCTTCTCTGTACCTCAGTCTGCCTCCTCTTACTATCTTTCTGTATCTCTCCCATATACTAAAAACTAAGAAGTGACTAATATGCAAATTAGTTAACTAACATTTCTTTTGGTCAACTGTAGATGGACAGCCATCAGGTGGTCAATAGAGGTTCCCAGGGCTCCAGCCTGTACCCTCAATTATCTCTAAATGACCAGATCTCCATTCCTCTTTAGATGACCGACCAGTTAGCTTCCTGTCCTTTCATCAACCACACCACCATTCATATTTTGTTTCACAATAACTCCTTGTTCTCAACACTCTGTCTTCAGTTCTTTCACTTTCATCTGACATCTATTTAATTCTGTTCTCACGATTACCATTTCTAATTACATAACACACTGTCTTCAAATCTTCCTATTTCACACTGTCATAGTTGCATTGTCTAGGTTGGAGACAAGGTAGAAGTGGGAGCGGTGACTGATGTGTTATGTCCGGGACGGAGCACCTCTCTACCTATCGGATCTGTGAAGGGAAATATGGGTCACTCGGAGGCCACTGCAGGTACGAAATATACCATATCCACTCCCGAATCTTCACAGCCTCACACATGTATGTGAGAGAAAGAAAAACTATACAGATTTGTTCTTAACAGCCATTGTAGATTTGACAGTTCGTTGTAAACAAAGAGAAGTTAATTTCATCAATGATATTTTGAGAGATTAGTGTAGTGTTGGTGTCGAAAATAAAAAATAATTTTATCTTGTACCATTTGAGCTTTGAACTCTAAAGTAATGTTATTTTGAAATAAAAATGATAGATTCTTGCTAACTTTAAAATCGTATATTTTCATAAGGCCCAAATTTTTTGATTTCCCAAAACATCACCACCTCCGATCCGGGGTACATGTCAAACTTGTAAAATTTTACTATGTGGACCTATAATTTGTAGATGGGTATCTTCAAAATCAACGAAATTAAAACCTCCATAAAAATTTGTGATTTCACAGTAATAATCTCTTATTACAAAACTAAATAACTATTGAAGCAAAACCACATATATGTGATGTATCTCATGTCGGGTATCAGAATAGATGCACAGAAGACAATAATATTCATATGTCTAACTCACGATTTTGTTTATATTCTCTAGGCTTAGCGAGTCTGATGAAATGTCTTCTAGTGGCTCGGTACAGGAAAATCCCACCACAATTAAACTATGTCAACCCGAACCCCAGGATCCCCGCAGTAAGCGAGGGCAAGGTGACCATCATCAACCAAGTAACCCCTCTCGAGGGTAGGTACAGTGAACTGGTATCGCCTTTTGTTATGCCCCCGCCATAAAATGGGGGAGCACATAGTGTTGCCCATGTCTGTCCAGTGTCCCGTCCCATCAAACATCAAACACTGAAGCTAATTTCACATGGTGACGGGGGCATTCATGTCTTGCCAACATTTTCTAGTCATAAATAGTTTGATTAATTTCACAGGTGAATTTTTTTTTTTTTTTTTTTTTTAATTGCAGTGAAGACATTTGAAATGTTATATATTCACTCAGGAAGATATCACTTTTAGCATTGTCCAATCAGAATGGTACTTTCTATTCACTGCAATGATTTTCAGTTTAAAGTTCAGATGAACGAAGTGAGGGCAGATTAACCCTTTCAACCCTATGTAACTTTTGTAGACTCGGCCATGCATTGGTCTGGATGAGTCCATTATGGTCTACAGTGGTGAAAGGGTTAAGTGGTCATCACATGTATGGAAATATGAAATATCAGTGCCCATATTCAAGAAACCGTTCCCCGATGCTCAAGCGTGGATTCTGTGCTTAAACCAGCTTTATTATAAATTGTAACTCGCTTTCAATAATCAATAAATTAATAATTAATTTGTAAATCATGTCAAACGATCAAACAGTCAAAAGTAAACATTGAAAACAATATTAGGCTATAAATTCATTGAACTTTTTTTCCAAATCATTGACAAATTAATTTTCTTTATCATTTTATAACCAAAACAAGAAAGTAGGCTTGAGCTCAAAATCAATGCTTGAGCATGAGAACGGTTTTATGATTGGAGCCCCAAGTGTCTCAGACTTCGTTTTCGAGATTTTATACATTGCCGAAAAACCCCTCATTAACCTAAGTCTTTCTGTTCCAGATGGTTACATTGGCTTGAACTCGTTTGGGTTCGGTGGTGCTAATGGTCATCTGATCTTGAAGCCCTATCGCAAGGACAGAAAAGAAAATGGTAAGTCAAGAAACGCTGTTACAAAATGAAAGTCTGCTTCATGAGGAGGCCGAAATTACGCTCAAATGCCCTCAATCCAGTGTTGGGATAACTGTCCACCGGATGCAAACAAATTGACGGTATACCATCCGGTGGACAAGTTATGCAAACACTGGATGGAGTGCATGTGAGCGAGATATGATTGTTAGGGTCGGAGGAAAAAACTAGGGTTGGTATACCTGAAACATACATATAATTGTTCGGGGCATTATAATTTAGTACAGTGGTAATTGTAAGTTGGACTTTTATCATAACATGATGGATATAATTTTGGTTTATCACACATAAATGGTTACATACCTCACGAAATAATTCAAAAATTACTTTAACAGAAATTCATTTGTATTTCACAATTTTCTAGCAAGAATGTTTTTTTTAAATCTTATATTGTAAGTGTACCTTTTAGTGCACACATATTTCCATGCACCAGTGACAATTTCCAAGTTGTATACATCATGATCCTTTATGTAAAGGAATACATTGACTTTATATTTAGTTACAGATTTTCACTTTCATATATATTGGCACAAAAAGCGCTAAAAGAATCATTACCACTGAAACAACTACAGTAGATGTTCATTGTATCAAGTGGCAATTTATTAGTCCCCCGCCAATTCTGGGGAGGGGGGGGGGGTACTATAGGTTTGCACTCCGTCCGTCCGAGAAGTTTGTCTGGGTCATATCTTCTATACTATTTCACCCTGGAGTAACCAGATCTGGTGTTGAAAGACATCTTGGGATCACAGAGTGCAGAGTGTAAGAATTTGGTCAATATGATCTCACTATGACCTAGCTTTGACCTTTGACCTTAACTTTTTTGAAACTGTTCGGTGCATGTCTTCTATACTATTTCACCTTGGAGTAACCAGATCTGGTGTTGAATGACTCTTCAGATGATGGAGTGCAGAGTGTATAAGAATTTGGTCAATATGATCTCACTATGACCTAATGCTTTGACCTTTGACCTTAACTTTTTTGAAACTGTGTTTGTTCGGTGCATGTCTTCTATACTATTTCACCTGGAGTAACCAGTTTTTGTGTACGAGGACATCTTGGGATGGCAGAGTGCAAGAAGTAGGTCACTACGACCTCACTGTTACCTATGCTTCTTGACAGAAGTGTACTTTTTGTTAAAAATAGAAACAATCACTGGTAGGGAACTATGGGTTGCCTTGCAATACTTTGCCTTGCTATTATACATGTAATAAAGAGTAATCCAGTCATTTGATCAATGTTAACATTTAATTTTTCAGACCAGAAGTTATGCCTGCTGCCCTACAAAGCTCGGACACTGGAGGAAGTGGAGGCCATTTGTAGATTATCGGAGTCAGATTTATCGTCAAGGATAGACCTTCACGGCCTCCTGGCTGGTTCCATTTTATCACATGATAAGAAGCGACCAATCAAAGGTTATCTGATTTCAAGCAGACACACGGAAGGTAAAAACCTTTGACAAAAATTATTAATATTATCTGTACATTTTGTCTGTTGCTTAACCCTTTCATCGCTGTAGACCACAATGGACTCAACCATATCAATGCATGGCAGAGTCTACTAAAGTTACATGGGGGGTGAAAGGGTTAAGGTAAAGGCTACAAACAATAAGTTAAACCATATTAGTATAACCATTGTCACTATTGTGAAAAGAAAAATTTAAGCCCTTTTCAAAAGAAACATTCCATAAAAATCACATGTTACTTGTAACATGAATTCTACAGAATTGTGCAAAATTTGAATGTTGGAAAGAGAAATAAAAAAGAAAACATGAAAGCTGCAGGAGTCGAACACCGGCCCTTTATATTACAAAACCTTAACTTTACCAATGTTGCCAGACAGGAATTATGAAAGCACAAAATTAGAATGAGTGTCAAATTTATGGGTCGCAAAGTGTATGAAAAACTTGACAGTGGAAGTAACTCTACTCCAGAAAAACTCCTTTTGATTGCTTTATAAGGGAGAATACTCCAAGTGAAAAAAATCTCATAACTGATGTAGTGGTACTCTTTACTGGAGTGGATAGAGCACCAAACAGGACCTAATGAACAAATTTATAAAAGTGAAAGAGAAATTAGAGTAAGCAACCTTATGTGGATTGAACTTGAAACATCCAAACTGTACATGGATGCTTGAATATATACGCATGCAGTCGAGGCATCAAATTGTTTAAGGATGGAAAATGCACTCACTCACTCTATCATCTACAATTGCCAAATCTGCATTTGAATACCACTTGAAATGTTGAGTGTTGCATACTGAAATTAAGTCATATGCAGAGTTATAGCCCTTTGTTTATTTTTTTTATGCCAAACTTTGTCCAAGAGGAGAAGGAGGTGGGGGTCATAGATTGATCAAATCAAATTGTTGCAATAATAAATCATGTATTGTGATTTGTACTTGTAAAACCTGTTTAGGCCGCCAGGAAAAATACGGCTCATACATAGAATCCAGTGCATATTTTCAAAGACAGCCTATTTTGGAGATAAGTTTGACTGACAGAAATCCTAGGCTAGGAAAGCTGCCCTTTTTTCAAATCAGGTTTATCATACAACTTTTACTAGCTTAGGCAATGTCAATATACCACTTTTTATCGTATCCTTTACAGGACTGATTTGCGGGAGGACAGTGGTAGAACAGGATCAGCGTGAGACCAAGGTCGGGAAGATTGGACTGTTCCTGCCAAACTTTGTGTGGGACCCAGTTGTGCTTGACAAGGATGTCTTAGATATCCCAGGATTTCTGACGTCGCTCCAGAAGTCACAACAGGTCCGTTATAAGCTTTTGACTGTCTTGCAGCCTTACCTTAGAAATGTAGGATACTGGAAAATTAAAATTTTCTCTGCAAATTGAACATATATCTGTGTATGATAAAATCTGTCTAATATCTGGCAACATGTCGGTTCAGTGTATCCACACAACACTCAGTTTGAATAACTTCAATTATTTTTTCATCATTTAACATGTGCATTTGTTCATCTGTCAAAGTAACTTTGCTGGATTCAGGTACAGTGGGAATTTTGCAGTGTTTATATATTTCTGTGGTAGAGCCAAGACTAGAACTCTGGGGTCAATGGTTTGGTTCTCATTTAAGTATACGAAATGTAACAATATACACTACATTGTATATAGTGATAAAATGTTTCAGCTGCCTATACCTTTTATTTTGTTCCTCTAGAGTTTAACAGAAAAGCTTGGATGGTCGTTTTCTCTGGTAGACAAGATCGGGTGCGATGAGTTGCTGACCACAATTACTGCTGAAAACGTGTGTGTGTCGATCGCTGCTCAGATTGGTAAGCTTTCCTTAGTACTAAAACATGTGTTATGTGATAGCTGTTCAGATCAGTAAGCTCTCCTTAGTACTAAAACATGTGTTATGTGATAGCTGTTCAGATCAGTAAGCTCTCCTTAGTACTAAAACATGTGTTATGTGATAGCTGTTCAGATCAGTAAGCTCTCCTTAGTACTAAAACATGTGTTATGTGATAGCTGTTCAGATCAGTAAGCTCTCCTTAGTACTAAAACATGTGTTATGTGATAGCTGTTCAGATCAGTAAGCTCTCCTTAGTACTAAAACATGTGTTATGTGATAGCTGTTCAGATCAGTAAGCTCTCCTTAGTACTAAAACATGTGTTATGTGATAGCTGTTCAGATCAGTAAGCTCTCCTTAGTACTAAAACATGTGTTATGTGATAGCTGTTCAGATCAGTAAGCTCTCCTTAGTACTAAAACATGTGTTATGTGATAGCTGTTCAGATCAGTAAGCTCTCCTTAGTACTAAAACATGTGTTATGTGATAGCTGTTCAGATCAGTAAGCTCTCCTTAGTACTAAAACATGTGTTATGTGATAGCTGTTCAGATCAGTAAGCTCTCCTTAGTACTAAAACATGTGTTATGTGATAGCTGTTCAGATCAGTAAGCTCTCCTTAGTACTAAAACATGTGTTATGTGATAGCTGTTCAGATCAGTAAGCTCTCCTTAGTACTAAAACATGTGTTATGTGATAGCTGCTCAGATCGGTAAGCTCTCCTTAGTACTAAAACATGTGTTATGTGATAGCTATTCAGATCAGTAAGCTCTCATTAGTACTAAAACATTTGTCATATGATAGCTGTTCAGATCAGTAAGCCCCTCCTAACAGCTGAAAATTTGTGTTGAAATCGCTGCTCTGATTGGCCTCCTTCTAATAACTGAAAATGTCCTGGCATCTGATCGTATGGTGGCTTAGTAATAAAATAAAGTTAATTTAGTTTTATCTGATATCTGTCCACAGGTATAGTGGACTGTATCAAGGAGTGTGGGGTTCCCATTTCCTATGTTGGTGCGAGTGGCCTGTCAGAGATCACTGCAGGGTACGTGGATGGATGTCTGACGCGAGAACAGTGTTTACATGTGGCACTGGTTCTTGGGAAAGCCCTGCAGGACTTCGGAAGTAAACAAGGTATATTTCTTTTGCCTTAAATCATGGTTTTCAAAACACAATCAAAGCACTGATGAAATGGTCCGACTCGTAAGGAGCTTAATGTTTCTTTGTTTACTCATTCACCCCTGAAATTTCATAATGAACTATTTCAATCTTTGAATTGGAACAGTTCAAATGTGTCTTCAGGGGTGAATGTGTTAATGCGTTTTGTTTTGCCTATGTAGAGGACATATAGGGATTCCTTCTGTTGTCATGTATTGTTAGTGTCACCATCAGTTTTGTTTTCCAGTCGATACCTTTAGAAGGAATCTGTAACAATAAATGTTGGATTATGATGAGACTAAATACATGCTACCCTTATCTCTAGGTTTAAGGCCTGGCCAAATTCATAAAGTGTCAATGTAATCACTGATCAACAATACAACAGCAGATATAAAGCATGTTATTCCTTCATTTACAGGTAGTTAAATTCAACGGCCATTCAACCTTAACTGGCTCGGGCCTTAATTGCCTCATTTTCTGTGGAATTCTTGTTATGTCTCCCCTTCAAATGAATGGAGACATATTGTATTAGTACTTGTTCTTCTTCTGGTTCTTCTAATCACATCTTGTCTGGGCCGTACATTTTAAACCATTTAGGATAAACTTGAGGTGTGCCTGCATGACCCACAGGTCACTGTGACCTTCACCTCAAGGTCAAAGGTCAAATAAGTGCAACATCTTCAATAAATTCTTGTCCGGCCTGTATTTTAAACTGCATCACCCACAGCGTAACTGAATCAACATCAATTTTGTAGACAACTCGTTCACATTTTACACCTTTGTGTGCATATGCTTCATTGGTCATTTGTCTGATGAAGGTGACAGTGTAAATACCGTACTAGTCATCTAAACGTCACATAGAAACTCTTATTGGTTGTGTAAAAAAATCTTTTTACAATTCATACTTACCAACCTAAAGAAAATGTTTAGAAATATAATCACCACTATTCTGCTTTGTTTGGCCAAATTTCTACTCCAGGGAAAATGATATGCAGTTCAGAAAGAGTTAATTGTTTGCTAGCTTTTCCAGGAAATTTAAAAGATCCTAAGTTAAGGAAGTAGGAATCTACTACGAAAATTACAAAAAAAGTTTTTTTCCCAAAGAACTGCCTGACAAGATTTACAAAGTGCACCTACCCCTGGAAATGGTTTACCTGCTGGGTCCTAAGATCAAAGTACTGGCCAGTCCATCCATGGAGACCTCTATCATACTGGTCAGTGGTCAATACTCCAACCAGATTCTCAAGGACATTCATGAAAAAGGTAAAATATCTTTACCAAACATTTCAGCACATTACAACTGTTTTCAGCTCACCTGGTCTGAATGACCAAGGTGAGCTTGTATATGCTTGACTGATATATCTATCAAGAACACATGCAGTAAAACGTCAGGTTGATGGTATATTTCAGGAGGTTTTTACAAGGAGTTACAACAGAAGATACCCTTCCACAGCCACTACATGATGGACTGTTTCAACTCTCTCACACACACATTGGAAGACATCATCAAATACCCCAAACAGAGGTATATAACAAGTCCAGAAAATTTGACAGGATTTGGTGTCGGGGGGAATCTTGGTTGTGCTTCAGAATCATGACTTTGGCCAAAAAGTATAAAGAGATTGTTTAATTTGACTTTTGTTATTAATATATTAATTTACAAAGATATATATGCGGGAAAATAAATGATAAAATAAAGTAAACACATGAAAAAATAATAGTCTGTAATTGTGAAATGTGGACAAAATGGTCACACAACTGATTGTCCAATCTCTTGACAAGTTATGTTTTCTTGATCAGAATAAAGATTCTAAAAAAAAACAGGCTTTAGGCATGCAGACTTTTATTATACCCTCGTAAGTGATTGTGACATTTTGACAATATTTTATCAAGGGAGATAACTCTTGCAGTGTAAGGTAGAGTGTATACTTTAAAGATGTTTGGTTTGTTTGGGATTGTTTGTGTTTTACATCCTAATAACAGCTATGGTCATTTAAGGACGTGCCAGGTTTTGGTGGTGGAGGAAAACCGGAGTTCCCGGAGAAAAATCACCGACTTTCTATCAGTACCCGGTAACTGCCCCAAGTAGGTCTCGAACCCGCAACCCAGTGGTGGAGGGCTAGTGATAGCAGAATGTCAGACGCCTTAACCACTTGGCCACTGCCGCCCCCTCTTTCTTAACTTAACTCATTCACCCCTGAAGACACATTTGAGCTGTTCCAATTCAAAGGTTGGAATAGTTCATTATGAAATTTCAGGGGTGAATGAGTTAAGGATATATTAAAGATGTATATGTTTGTAGCTCAAGCCGGTTCCTCCAGAGGAAGCATGATTTCCTCCCTGGCCTGGAGTCGAGGTCTGTGGCTTTCAGTGCCAAGTACCTGAGCGAGATGCTGACTCGACCATGCGCTCCCTTTAAAGCTGCCCTGCCCGATGATATGGTTATGGTCAACATAAACCTCAGCGGTCAGTCTGAGGAGGCCGAAGAGACAATCATCGATGCTGATCCGAGGCAGAAACTGACAAACATCCCTCTGGAATCTGACCCAGTCTCAGTTCTCAGAGCACTAGGAGAACTTTACCTTCATGGTAAGGTTGGTTTGGTTTAGGTTTATTTTTTTTAATGTCCTATTTTCAGCTTAGGTCATTTTGCCTCCTTGCAATAGCACGGATCTGATGCCGACTCTAGAGTGCTACCCAGCACAGTGTTCCACCCAGTCACAATAAACTGACAATGGGTAAACTAATTTTTGCAATAACCTTAAATGCTGAAATCAAAGGATATAAAAGATGTAGCATCAACATCTAGATTCCGTGTTTTATTAGATATTGTATTAAATACAACACGGAATCTCGATGTTGTTGCTCCATCTTTTATATCCTTTGAATTTATCTAACGCGATGGAACTCTACTGAATACCGTTAGATATCCATCTCTGATTCCCATTACCACCAACTTTCGTCCATCAATAACCAGGACGTTGGTTCTCCTCCACTCCCACAGGAGCCCTAGTTCTAAATGCTGAAAGTTAAGCATGGAACAACAACTAACATATTAAATGTCACTTTGGTATGTCTCGGCCTGGGAAACAGAACCCATTACCTACCCCACTTTGGTATGTCCCGGCCTGGGAAACAGAACCCATTACCTACCCCACTTGGGGTAAGGCAAGATATTGACCGTGACTTTGTCTCGGTAAATATCACTTTCTGATACCATCATAGAAATCCCTATTACCACACATTCACTGAAATGAAAGTCCGTAATTGATGTATAAGATGTAAAATTCAAATCATTAAAAAATAATAAACATGTATATGAAAATTGTCAGGAGGAAAATACTACATTTGGGAGTGAGTATTATGACATCACAATTGAAATGACGTCAGGAATTGAATATTGCCCTGCTGTTCCTAAAAATAATCAGACCTAGTCAATATCACAAATCACCGACCTCCTTGTGAGTTTGTCTATGATCCAACCTGTATGATGATTTAGGAAAAATGTGTGTCAACTAATATATGGGTATAATCTTTCACAGGCCATGATATCAAGGTGGCGCACTTGTACAAGACTGAGTTCCCACTGGATGTATCGGCCCCGGCAGTCAGTCCGGTGATCCGCTGGAACCATGCCACTTCCTGGTATGTCCCGGAATGGCACGAGTTCTTCAACAAAGGTACACTGTTTCTATTGTTAGACTAGGTCATGAGGCTGATTTGAAGAAAGGGGTGAATTTCATGGTGGTTTTGTAAAGAGTTGTATTTCAAACCAATTTTGAAGGTACTGAGTGCAGAAGTTGATATTATCTGGCTAAGTTTTGAGATTAATGTCAGAGGGCAAAAGTGGAAAGATGATTTAGGATAATGTGTGCCTGTTGCTGACAGGAGAGTGAATTATGTGTGCCTGTTGCTGACAGGAGAGTGAATTATGTGTGCCTGTTGCTGACAGGAGAGTGAATTCTGTGTGCCTGTTGCTGACAGGAGAGTGAATTCTGTGTGCCTGTTGCTGACAGGAGAGTGAATTATGTGTGCCTGTTGCTGACAGGAGAGTGCATTATGTGTGCCTGTTACTGACAGGAGAGTGAATTATGTGTGCCTGTTGCTGATAGGAGAGTGAATTATGTCTGCTTGTTGCTGACAGAAGAGTGAATTATGTGTGCTTGTTGCTGACAGGAGAGTGAATTCTGTGTGCCTGTTGCTGACAGGAGAGTGAATTATGTGTGCCTGTTTGTTACAGTGAAGGATGTGGGTGTGCCTACCTACATCATTGACACCAAGGACACAGAGGAGATGACCACACCCATGGCCCTGTTACTGTACCACACATGGAGGGCCATCACACAGCGCCACAAGGTCAGTCAAGGGGTTAGAGGTCATACAGCCTCAAGTTGAGGCTCAGAGGTCGTACACAGCGACACACAATAAGTCGAGGGTTAGAGGTCATAACCACTGAAACTCGGTGTCAGTGAAGAGTAAGGTTATCCACACTGACAAGGTCAGTCAATGGTTAGAGGTCAAACAGCAGCAAATCAAGGTTCATAGGTCATACACAGCGAGACACAATAAGACAAGGGTTAGAGGTCATAACCACCGAAACTCAATGTCACCAAAGATTACGGTTATCCACACTGACAAGGTATGTCAAGTGTTAAAGGTCATATAGCTTTGTAACACAAGATCATCCAAGGGTTAGAAGTCCTACAGAATCCAGTACAAGGGTTGTCTAATGCACTGAAACCCAATGTCATTGAACCAAGAAATAGTATGCACAACAACACAAGGTCAGTCAAGGGTCAGAGGTCATAATCACTTTAACACATAAGTCAAGGGTAAGATGTTTCATCTACTGAAATTCAAGGCCAGTTAAGGGTTTTGAGTCCAACACACAAAATCAAACAAAGATCAGAGGTCATATTTCCTGCAGCACAGGGTAAAACCACAGTAGAGGTAAGACACCCTGCAGCACAATTAGGTCAAATAAGGGTCAGAGGTCATACACACAGCAGCACAGGGTAAAAACGAGGGTAAGAGGTAATACACCCTGCAGCACAAGGTCAAGTAAGGGTCAGAGGTCATACACACTGCAGCACAGTGTTAAACGAGGGTAAGAGGTAATACACCCTGCAGCACAAGGTCAAATAATGGTCAGAGGTCATACACACAGCAGCACAGGGTAAAACCAGGGTAGAGGTAATACACCCTGCAGCACAAGGTCAAATAAGGGTCAGAGGTCATACACACTGCAGCACAGGGTTAAACGTGGGTAAGAGGTAATACACCCTGCAGCACAAGGTCAAATAGGGGTCTGAGGTGTACACACTGCAGCACAGGGTTAAACGAGGGTAGAGGTAATATACTCTCTGCAGCACAAGTTCATAGAAGATAGTGTGCTTGATACAGACAGTTCATATACTCAACAATCCTAAATAAGAGATGTCTGGAGTGTGATGTGATCAACCACAAAAGTCAAACAAGGCTACAAGGTGCTTGACGTGAACACAACAACACGGTCAGTGGAGGGGTATGTAGCTAAAGACCATGCATGAACTCTAAAAAAAAGTTGAAGTTTATGCATTATAATAGAGAATTGAAACACATTGGGGAAACTTGATTCTGGCATGCCGGTTACCCGGCTGCACTACAAATTGATTTCAGTCTCTTAAGTCCCGCAAGTTCGTCACGTGCCGTTGGATAAGAAATTTTGCTGGACTGCAGAGACAGCCAAAGCGATACACAATGTGACTTGTGTCAGCCATATTGCACGTATGCCACCTTGCTTGAATGTAGCGTCCCGGGGGCAAGCACAAACCCGACACGACCGGCACGTCAGAATCCAGTTTGCCCTATGTTTGCTCTGTTGTAGATATTGTATGTACTTGTTGTAGGCCCTGACCAAGGACAACATAGTTGCTGTGGAGATTCAGAGTTTGGCTGTACACAACGAAGAACTCTGGAATGTAGATCTAATGTCGGGAGCGGCAATCAATATTCAGGAACTGCAGAAAAACTTCACAATCACAAACCAAGGTAACTGTTCATGAGACTTCTTTCTCACAATAAGAACCAAGTTTTTCACTTCATATTATAGGGATGTTATTCTTCAGTTTTCCAAAGGATTTCCTCTTTTTTTTCTAATATTCCTGTGAATTTATAAGTTCCTGATTGACTCTGAAACTTTAAAAAAAAATCAAAATTTCTATAAGTTGGTGAAGTGTGTTCCTCCCTTTTCTCTTTAATTTCCTCCTTTGTTTTCCAATCCCCAATCACATCCCTGATATTAATAGATAGATATTTACTTCTGCTGATGCTGACATTGTCCTTCCTTCATTAATATAGGGTTAGTGCTGTTGACCGGAAGTTTCAAGGTTCACACACAAAAGATTGAGTTACCTAGAATTCCTGGGTTTGACCTTGACATCAATCAGAATGTTGATGTCCGTGAGGAGGAGTAAGTAGAAAACACGAGAGAAAAGTCTATAAATTGTCTTCTCGTTCTTTTCATGAAGAAGATAAAAAAAAATGGTCATGCTTCTTGGTTAGTGTCTCATAACTTTATCAAGTTCATGTTTGATTAGTCTCCTACCGGTGACTATAGGTTTTGTCTGCATCCGTCCATCCGTCCGTCGCCAAAATCTGCAGGTTAAAGTTTTGTAATGGCTTACCATTCACTTAATAATGATGTTAAGATGCTGATTGTTAACATAGAGGTTCTTTGAGGGTCTAGCATTAATGCTGTGGATTGAAAATGGAAAATATTTTTATTTTTTTGAATTTTTGACATGTTTTGGACTTAACTATCTTGGCCAACATCTGCAGGTTAAAGTTTGGTTTAAAGTTTTGTAATGGCTCACCGTTCACTTTATAATATTGTTAGGATGCTGATTGTATGGACAGAGGTTCTTTAGGGGTCTAGCATTAATGTTATTTATTGAAAGTAAATAAATAATTCTTGTTTTTTTATTTTTGACATGATTTGGACTTAACTATCTTGGCCAAAATCCGAAGGTTTAAGTTTAGGGGGCCAGTAGGGGACATGTATTGATTCATCAATACCCACAGAATGCTTGTTAATTATAGAAATTTGTCCACAATTTTAATAACATTTCTCTAGCATGTTATTTTGTTAATAACTGATTTTGATCAAATTTCTTACAAAAACCAAGTTAGGGAACGCTTTACATCAGAGTTCGTTTTTCAGAAACTAAAGGTCAAAACTAAGATCACCGTTTGACAGAATTATAGAAATGTGTTTTAAAAAACCCACTTATTTGCATGGTATTCATGTCTACAGACTTTTTGGGGCTAATACTTTTTTTAGTAGTACAGTAAGTAATAAGTATTCCAATCAGTCGGAGAAATTAATGTTTTCATCAAATTAGTCACAAGAAGTATATTTCATCTACAGCTGTTGTTTGATTTTCAAATTCTGTTATTCAAAAAACCAAATGTCAAATGTAGGGCATGAAAATTGCTACCAAGTGATTAATGTTGATCTTCACAACCAAGTAACAGTTAATGGCTTTTCAGTGTTTAGGTTAAAATGTATACTTAACTCATTCACCCCTGAAATTTCATAATGAACTATTCCAACCTTTGAACTGGAAGAGTCCAAATGTGTCTTCAGGGGTAAATGATTTAATTGGAAAGGTCCTAAGGTAACAGAGAATTATCCTCTTTGACAACCTGAGTATTCTATACAATGTTGGACTATAGGGAGGAGATCCAGAAGACGGAGATCCTGTGGGAGGACAGTTGGCTTGACTTCATCAACACGGCACTGGAGTTCGCCGTACAGTCCCTGGTCGGACCACTCACCCGCGTCATCATCCACCCCGACGGCCACAGCAAGGAGGTGGAAAGCTGTGCCAACATCCTAACTGTGGCCGAGAGGCTCACAGGTCAGTGTTTTGGATTGGTATGATAAAGGTCACAGGTCATAGAAAAAGATTGGGGTCACAGGTTACTGTTGCCGAGAGGCCCACAGGTCAGTGTTTTGGATTGGTATGATAAAGGTCACAGGTCATAGAAAGAGATTGGGGTCACAGGTTACTGTTGCCGAGAGGCTCACAGGTCAGTGTTTTGGATTGGTATGATAAAGGTCACAGGTCATAGAAAAAGATTGGGGTCACAGGTTACTGTTGCCGAGAGGCTCACCGGTCAGTGTTTTGGATTGGTATGATAAAGGTCACAGGTCATAGAAAGGGATTGGGGTCAAATGCTATTGAGACCGATAGGGTTCAAGTCAATGACAGGAAGGGAAGTTTGTAGGACTGAGTGAGTTGGTCTCGTGATCAAATCCATATTCTGTGCTCAAGCCCAATTTATTGTTCTGGTGATAAATTAAGAGAAAAATACATTTTGTCAATGATATGGAAGAAGTCAAAGAGACTTGCACCGAATAACATTTTAAACATTTACATTTGACATTTCGATCCTGTCACATGATTTAAGTGGATTTCAGAAAAGTTGGTTTGGACACTTGAGTGAGAATCCATGCTTGAGTACAAGAACGGTTTCATGAACACTGCCCAGTTCATGAGTAGGGTTTGTGGATCACAAGTCGGTGAGATAGATAGTGTTACAGGTCAGTGATAGATGTGTCTCGGGTCAGTGAATTAGATGGGGTAACAGGCCAGTGAGAGAGGTACATGACACAGTTTTAGGGATCAAAGTCTTGGAGTCAAAGGTCAGTTGACAGATGAGTTTCAGAGTTGTAAGAGGGATGGGAGCAAATGTCAGTAAGATAAATGGGGTCATATCGGTCACAGAGCACAGTGCAGATAAGGTCTAAGGTAAATTGAATTAGTTTCAGTCATTTATTTATTCACTGTGTTTCATAAAACTTGACATTTTTAACCACAGGTTTATGTAAGGCTGGCAATGGCCTTGTCCTCCAGACATTGGTCACAAAGGCTCAACGTGAACTCCAGGCGAATCACTCTCGCAAGGTCAATATAACCGATGGTGAACATACCGTAGTCAACATGGCCATGGCCTACGGTGTCCAGGGCAGTGGTCAATCGTTTGACCAGGTGCTACTCTACCAGGGCACCAATTCTCTCAAGGACACAAACGTCATTGGGATCGTCCTCATCACAGGTAAACCTTGGAAACTCATCACAGGTAAATCTCTGAAACTCATCACAGGTAAATCTTGGAAACTCATCACAGGTAAATCTCTGAAACCCATCACAGGTAAATTGCCAAGACCCGTTACAGGTGAATCTCCAAAACCCATCACAGGTAAATCTCCAAAACCCATCACAGGTAAATCTCCAAAACTCATCACAGGTTTACACAATAATTTCTCAGGTTTCAAAGGTTAGACTTCATATTTATCATCATATCCAGTCCGTAAATCCCCCCACAACTTATATTTTTATACTATGAATGAGAACTTGTGTTTGACCCTCAATGTGGCATGAGGGTCATCATCTCATAGCCATAACGAAACATTAAATTATAGTTATAAAAGTTACAAAATTTATCATTTAAATTCCAAAAATTTGTTTTGCTCCAAAAGAAAATATCTTTCATGTATTACCTTACATCTGAATGAAATAGATCAAAATTAGGACATTCCATCACTTCACAAATAAATCGAAAAATAAATGCCTTCTAAAGAATACTGTATAAATGGGTAGCTATACACTATTTCTGGTACCTTTGTCATATATATATATGTTTAGATGAGGAGATGTTGTGTCGGGAGATCCCTATAGACAAGGAAATGACTCTGGATGAGCTGCAACAACTGACACCCTACATCCTGGCCCACTACATCACAACGAATGTGGCCGAGGTCAAACAAGGGGACAAAGTGCTGGTCTCCCACCCTATAGGTAGGTATTCTGACCACTACATCACAACAACTGTGGCCGAGGTCAAATGAGGGGACAAAGTGCTTGTCAACAATCCTGTAGATATGTAGTTCTGGCCAAATTTTGGGTCCCCCCTTCCTTATTGTGTAGTATTCTGAACAAGATTATATTATCCTGCAAACTACTTCATTCTTGCAAGAGAATAATTTTATATCAATTTGCAATAAGACTGAATTTCAATTTTACAATATACAGAATTGATGTTATGGGTGAATACTATCAATATTGAAACTGCATTCTCTAAAATGAGATCTCAAAAAGAACCTGTAGGCATAAGTTCAAAAATATTAATAAAGTGATATACAATATGCACTACAGAAAGAGTTCAATGTTTGTCATGTTACCCCATGTAATTTGTTGGCCCTTATGACCTGTTCTGTGTTGATGGGTGGTTAAGCATTGATAATAATAATATACCCCATACAACAAGTGGTAGTGTACATGATATTAAAGGTTTGTCCTGTTTCCCAACAGACACAGTAGCAGTCTACATCATGGCCATTGTAGAAGAACTGGGTGGTGTCATTTTTGTGTCCAGCTACGACGCTGAAATCAGACAGATGCTTGACCGGGTGTTCCCTTACGCTCGCATCCTTCCCGGCTCAAAAATTGTGTCTAATGTGAAGTCGGTCACCCAGGGCGAGGGCTGTGACATCTGTGTTAAGTTCACAAGTGGAGGTATGTAGTCGTACTGTTGAAGATGATGATATTTACCTGCAGAATATTGTTTTTGTCTCGCCGCCACGAAGTAGCGGAAGCGAGACTAAGGTTGTGCTTTTCCGGCATCAGCGGCATCAACATTTAGTTTATGCATTAAAGTTTTAGGCAAGTTTGACTTTAGTAACCTGAAATAGCTCTAATTGAAGAACTGGTAGAGTTGATGTTGTCTTTCCAGTGATTGATCTTTTTTTTTTACCTTCAGAACTGGATGAGGTGCTGTCTCTGGTTTCCCACAGCGGGAAAATGATCCAGTGTTCCCCAATGCTGGACACAGAGAGCCTCGATCTGGGCTTCCTCTCACGCAATGCCTCTGTAAAGCTGCCGACCATGACAGAAGCCTTCAAAATCCTGATGGAGAAGAGTCTGGAGGACATTGATGAGATGCTGTGTGACCTCAAGCATGGCAATGTTGTCAAGGTAACAACATCCTTCTCCGTCGGTGTATTATAGCTACATGTCAACTGCCTCTACCCCTGCATATAGAAATCAGTCGGTATCTGTCTGTTTGTCCATCCACACTTCTATTTCTGGATATTATCTCAGAATCCAAAAGAGTACAAGCTTTCTGAAATTTGACATGGTGATACACTGTGAAATGTAGATGTGCAATAGGGGTTTAAAAGATTTTTTAAGCTCAAGGTCATGGTCACTGTTACTAAAAATAGACTCTGGGGTACAGTCATATCTCGGAATCCAAAAGTCTCATCTTTTGGAAATTTTTAATGGTGATGCAATGTGATATGAAAATGTGCAAAAGGGTTTTTAAAAGTGTCTAAGGTCAAGGTCACTGTTACTATAAATAGACCAAGGGGGATACAGTCAGGCACATTGCGGAACCCTTAATGTCTTGTCAGTACTCTAGTTAACCTGTTACAGCCTTCACCAACTATTTAGAGCTGAGAGCCATTTTAAGGTTTCCTGGTAAGGCCCTGCTGTACAACACTATGTGGAGATTACATGCTTTGTTCACAGCCTGTAGCCTCTGTTTACAGCTGACAGCAGAAGGATTCCCTGAGGATAAAGGTCTGCTGTACAGTCTCGAGGAGCATGCCAGTTTTGTCAGCCCCGTGCCATTCCCCAAACTGCTGACAGTACTGGAAGAACCGCGTATTGGGTTGATGGAGAGTTTTGAGGAAATGGTGACGGCCGATGTGATGGCAATGGAGAAACTTCACAACTTTGTCATGTCAAAACCAAAGGTGATAAGGAACTGTTCATGCATTGTCTTGACTTTTGTATTTAAGTATCCCTGCCCAACTGCACTATGGATTATTCCTTTCACCACTGTAGACCATACTAGACTTATCTAGATCAATGCATGGTAGAGTAAATACAGTAACCTCCCCTTAATTTCCGTTTTGATATAACTGTAGCACAGTCGGGCCAGGACACTTCCGTTGACCTGGTAGCTCAATTGGTTAAGTAGTAGGACAACCTGAAGTCCAGGGTTCGAATCTCGGTCTAGCCCCGCTGAATTTTTCACTCGTTAAACTGTTGTTGATTGTATTTTTGTTTATGTCATTAGTATTTTTTGGTATGGTGTCTTTTTCAGAAATTGTTTATCAAAGCTTATTTCAAGCTGGGAAAAAAAAATGTTTCAATGTGTTATAATTTAAGCTACAGTTTTTGGTAGGGGATCCTTAAATTCATGTTTTTCTTCCCTGAGGGGTATCGTCTGCTATGGGCCCTGATGGTTTGGAGATAGAAACATTTCTTTATCTGAAGCACTTAAAGTCCACAGGGAAAAAATTAACCTTCATATCACCAGGATATATGATACCAGTAGGGCAAAAGTTAGACAAGCACTTTCTGAATCTTTTTCATGTTGTGATGATGAAAGAGTTAATCAACAAATTTATGTGATAAACATTTTAAATAATGTTTAGATAATTAAGATGTAAAGGGTATGGATGGGCTTTCATCTTCCAATTGTTGTTTGTGTAGTAAAAGGCGATGAATCTTTGAGATAATCTGAGAGAGGTATTGCATGCATGAGTCAGCAAGCACCTCTGAAAGACGGAAAGTTTTTGTCTCGCTGTCGTGTGATGTGCCTGAATGAACCAGTAACAATACGACACAGATTTAACCCTTTCACCACTGTAGACCATAATGGACTTGTCCAGATCAATGCATGGTAGAGTCTACTAAAGTTACATAGGGGTGAAAGGGTTAAGGTCCTGTGTTGCCACTAATGCTGTGAGATCTTTGTAGGATTACTCTCTGGCCGAGATGGGCCTCAACAGTTCCCGGGATGGTCTGAATGCTGCCATGAATCCAACACCTTCGTTGAACAGTGCTGAATATCCCTCAAAGACACCGGACATCTGTATTATTTCCCTCACCAACATCAGTTTTGAGTGTTCACCCCCTGGACACCCAACTCCACATCCCGCCAAATTTAGGCGCAAACCCACCGTTGACACCAAAATGACCTCAACCCCTATGATCACCATTACACATTCTGAGGACAAGGTGGATAACCTTCACGAGAGTTATATAGAACCGAACGCTCCCATCCTAGCTCCCATGTCAAAGAAGCTACAGGTCAAGGGTGCTAAGGGCCCAAACTTTCTGTCTCCACTCAGTCTGTCGGGGATATCAAACTTCCAACCCAAGAAGTTGAAGACTCGACAGGTGGACCTGCTGTTTGTAGGTCCCCCGCGCACCCCTCTGACTCCCGCAGTTCACAACATCCTGACCCCAAACAGTCAGGAGTCGACCATTGTACCGCTGAATTCTATCCAGTCCGGGGCAAAGGAAGTAGTATTCATGATTCATCCCATTACAGGTGAGGCTTAATGCTGTAAAAACTTGTATGTCTTGATAATATTGTGTGAGCTAAGTCGCCTCAGTGACACTACAAGAAATAAATGAATCATTACTTCAGGATGATTTACAAATAATTGCATGAAGAAATCAAAAATATTCGCACCCACATAATTAAATACTAACATATATTAACTTGTTTATACTATATGTTCCATTACAATTTTAACAATCAATTTAAAAATATGTTTGTCTTTGACAAAAAATACTTGGACATGAATAAAATATTATACAATAACTATAGAAAAATGACAAATAGGAAATAAAAAAAACACCCATTCTAGACAGCACATGGTGTGAAGGTATCGGTTTCAGTGATTAAAAGTCTATTACAATAGTCGTAAAAACATAGATTACCAGTACCCAACAAGAAAGAAATTGTCGTCAAAATGATAATATTTTGATATCCCAAATACATATGTACTCTCATGAGGGCAATATTCGTAACTGGCAATGTTGCTCGAAAATTAATTCCAACAAACTAGTTAAGGACAACCGTGAAATGATGGCCACACAAAGTTAAACAAATATACAGTATGGAGAGAGTGACTGGTATCTGGATTTTTTTCTTGTACCTGCGAACCTCATTACATTATTCTGTGTAACAGGCAAACTAACCCTTTTGAAGAAATTGGGTGAGAACTTGATCAGCCCAGTGTATGGAATTCAGAGAACCAATACAACACCCAGGGATTCCATCCACAGTGTTGCCAGGTAATCTTCTTATAGTTGATTTAATGATAAAAGTAAAGGATCGTGACTTGCTTTATTTTTTTATGTTCAAATATTTTTAGGTCACCTGACCATAGGTCATGATGACCCATTGCCATCCGTCTTCGTCCGTCGTCGTGCATTAACTTTCAACCTGTTAGCACGATAACTTGAGTAAAAATGAATGGATTTCGATAAATTTTGCTATGCTGCTTTATATCAATAAGATCTCGGACAAGTTCAAACAATAATTGGCAGAGTTATGGGACTTTGAAACTTTAATTACTAATGGAGCCTATGGGACTTGAGCTTGTGAGCACAATAATTTTAGTAAATGTGAAGGGATTTCGATGAAATTTGCTATGCTGTGTTGACTCAATCAGATCTCGGAACGAGAGTGCAAATGGGCCTGATCAGACAGTAACTGGCAAAGTTACTGCCAATCGAAGAAAGGAAATTTTTGACTTCTCAAGATTATCTGCAGCAATTCACTTCTTTATTATTTTGTGCAAATGTTCCTTATGAGGTTCCCAACAATTGTTCTTACTTTTTTTACCGATCAGAAAATCCAAGATGGTCACCCTGACCTCTCATTGACAGATGTTTTTTACTTCTTCTCGAGAAAGGCTACACCGATTGACTTCTAACTTAATAGAAGTGTTCCTTTAGGTTTCAACGAAGTTTGCTACTTTTCATGCTGATGTAAAGTTCCAGATGGCTACCCCGGCCAGTGATTGGCTAGGATATTTGCAACTCCATCTGTTCATAATCTATTAAACGTATCATCTAATTCATCTATACAGCATGTGTAAGCCTGGTCCTCAGGTTAGTGTGTGTGTAATGCCTTTTCTCCAAAGTAACTATTTGCCAATTTAAAAAAAAAAAAAAATGCTACAGTTTGAGTACTTCAGAATTTTATCAGGTGACTGTTTTAGGCCCATGGGCATCTTGTTCACTTCTAACAGAATCTTATTGAATATATCAGTGTTTAAAGCCCCGAGTTCACCATTTTAACAGCACATAGTCTCACCTACACAAAAGAGGCCTATAGCTAAATGTTTTGCTCATTTCGCTTTGATTTCTTATTTTCTTTTAGATCAAATTCATTCTTTGCATCATCAGTTGAAATGATAGTTTATACAAGTTTCTGGAATATCCAGATTGGAGGGATTAAATTAAGACTTTGACTTTAGACTTAATTAAGGCCCCGTATCGGAGATACGGGTGCCCTATAGTAATCACTCTGTCTATCTGTCCGTCCACAAATTCTGTTCCTGGCTGATAACTTTGGTATCTATTGACCGATGTACATGAAACTTGGTCAAGATGTTCAGTTCACAAAAATACACATTGAGGCAAAAATTCAAGGTCAAAGGTCAAGGTCATTAGGTTCAAAGGTCAAGGTCAAATTTTACATTTTTTCACTGATGAACATTTTGTTATGACATTATGAAGCAAAGTTGATCAGAATTAAACAAGGAGTCAACTGACCTAAGGTCAAGGTCATCGGGTCAGGGGTCAAAGTCAAAGTTTGTAGCTTTTCACTGGTGAACATTTCCCTATGATATTTTGAAGCAAATTTGTTCGGAAGAAAACAAAGAGACACACTGAGGTAAAAAGTCGAGGTCAAAGGTCAATGTCATTAGATTCAAAAGTCAAGGTCAAATTTTGCATCTTTTCACTGATGAACATTTTGTTATGACATGATGAAGCAAAGTTGAAAAGAATTAAACAAGGAGTCGACTGACCAAAAGTCAAGGTCATTGGGTCAAAGGTCAAGGTTAAATTTTGTATCTTTTCACTGGTGAACATTTCGCTATGACACTTTGAAGCAATGTTGCTCAGAATTAAACAAGGAGTCAATTGACCAAAGGTCAAGGTCACTGGGTCAAAGGTGAAGGTTAAATTTTGTACCTTTTCCCTGAAGAACATTTTGTTATGACATTATGAAGCAATGTTGTTCAGAACTTAACACAGAGTCAACTGACCTTAGGTTCGGGTCACAGGGTCCAAAGGGTCAAGGTCAAGTTTTGTATTTTTCACTGATGAACATTTTGTTATGATATTAAGAAGTAAAGTTGGTCTGAATTAAAGAATAAGTCAACTGACCAAAGATCAGGGTCACTGGTTTAATGATCAAGGTCATTTGGGTCCAAAGGTCAAAGACAAAGTGGATCTCTGACTTTGACCCTTGCTCTTGATGGAGGAGGTATGTATATAAGGTGAAATAAAACAAATCAAAGCTAACAAATGAGTATTGCACCGGTATTTACATTTCTGTTAGCCCAGCAAATATGGAGGTGGAAGGAAACAAGACTCACATCATAGTACATGTAAAATGCTTCCTTGCGATTCTTTTTGAAGTCCAAATGTCAAACGTCAAGCTCAGCTATATGGGCAGATTGCTTCTTGATGATTATGGGGGATATATTGCCACGAGACGGGGCCCTTACTGACCTGTCAGTGTTCTAGTTTGTATTTCATTTGCTGAGCCCCGAGTTATTATATAGCATACCATATACCAGGTACTAGTGTTTCTGATGACAGGGGTGAGTGACCTATATTTTTGACTTCACTGACATTTAACTCTAGTACTCCATCCTCGATACTCTTAGGGATTACGCTCACTTGCGCTCTCAACAGTCAACACCCTTGGAATATATCATGGTCAAATTAAAGGCACAAAGATAGCTGTCTGATTGGTGTCGAATAAGGAAAACTGACCAATCGCAAGGCTGATACATGGCTTAATTTTGAAGATTACTTAAGAGCGAAACCCGACTTCCAAACCATTTAACATTACCGTTACATTACTGCAAAGTTCTTTTGATGTTTATCATAGGATCAAACCAGTCCTAACTTGTATCATCCAAAAGGAGGCGCCACTGAGGCTTCAATTTGTTTCATGACATTTTCCAAGAGTGCAGAGAGTGTATGTGAGCGTTACCCCTGGAGTATCAAGGTTGTCATTACTCTTATAATAAAGATCCTTACCCATATATATCATCTTTAATATGACCTACATATAGATGCAGTCCAGAATAGTGCTCTTAACTCATTCACCCCTGATGACACATTTGAACTCTTCCAATTCAAAGGTTGGAATAGTTCATAATGAAATTTCAGGGGTGAATGAGTAAATTTAGAAGCCATTTAGTGAATTAATGAAAAGTGCTACACATTGTTATCTCTTGAATTTACTTAGCGTTCTGATCAATTGGCTATATTTTGGCTATGTTAATAGGGACACAGGGAATATAAGATAGTCTTTGGCTCACAGTTCTATATAGTATCATCAGTTTTCTGGTGCACAGGTCTGATTATTTGAACGGTGCTTGGTTAAGCCTGGAGGTAATATAGGCACCTGTTTCTAGGATAGCTACTGATTACTGTGATTATATACCTATAACTCTCTACCTGTACAGCTACTACCTGAATGCAATCCAGATGATGGGTCCGAGAGATGACCACTACATCATTGGATACTCCTTTGGGGCCATTGTTGCCATAGAAATGGCCATACAGCTTCAGGCCTGTGGCAAGAAGGTATTTATAGGAAATTTGTTTTGGCCTTAGATATTAACTTGCATGCATTGTGTAAAGAGATCTGTACTTAATCAAACTGATAAATGGATGGGACAGTCATTTTTAGCTCACCTGGTCCGAAGGACCATGGTGAGCTTATGCCATACCACAGCGTCCGTCCGTCAACTTTTCCTTTAAAACTCTACTAGTCCTGAATGGCCAAGTAGATTTTGACTAAATTTGGTCTAGAGTATCCCTAGGCCAAGGGGACTCAATTTTGTATAAACGGTGGGTGTAGCCCCCCTGGGGGCAGAGGGGCGGGGCCCAATAGGGGAAATAGAGGTAAAACCTTGAAAATACTTCTTCTACCGTAGGGATTGAAGGATTTTACCCTAATTTAGTCTGGAGCATCCTTGGGCCAAAGGGACTCAATTTTGTATAAATGATGGGTGTGGCCCCCCTGGGGGCTGGGGGGCGGGGCCCATTAGGGGAAATATAGCAAACTCTTTAAAATCCTTCTTCTTCTGTAGGAATGCAAGGATTTGCTCCATATTTGGTCTGAAGCATCCTTGGGTAAAGGGGAACCAATTTTGTATAAACAATGGGTGTGGCCCCCCTGGGACCTGAGGGTGGGGCCCAATAGGGGAAAAAGAAGTAAAACCTTTATAATCCTTCTTCTACCATATGGATTGAGGGATTTTATCCTAATTTAGTCTGGAGCATTCTTGGACAAAAGGGACCCAATTTCGTATAAACAGCGAGTGTGGCCCACCTGGGGACAGAAGGGAGGGGCCCAATAGGGGAAACATAGCAAAATCTTCAAATACCTTCTTCTTCTGTACGAATGACAGGATTTTGTCCAAATTTGGTATGAAGCATCATTGGGTGAAGGGGAACCAATTTTGTATAAACGGTGTGTCTAACCCCCCTGGAGGCAGAGAAGCAGGGCCCAATAGGGGAAATAGAGGTAAAACCTTTAAAATCCTTCTTTTACCATAGGGATTTAGGGATTTTATCCTAATTTAGTCTGGAGCATCCTTGGGCCAAGGGGACTCAATTTTGTATATGCAATGGGTGTGGTCTCCTAGGGGGCAGAAGGGCGGGGGCCAATAGGAGAAGTGGGGCTCTGTTTGAAGTTTGTTCTCGCTATATCACGAGTACTGGATGGATCTTTCTGAAATTTCATATGTACTAACAGCACCTACCATGGAGTGCTATATCTTTACTTCATACCAATTATTTAAAACATATTCAGGTGAGCGATACAGGCCCTCTGGGCCTCTTGTTTTAATTTCTGACTTGCTTTTGTTGATTGGATTATAACCATTAAGGGTTATGCAGAATTTAAAATGTTTAGATATTCCCACGTCTTTCCATACAGTACCTGTGTTATATACACATCTATCCTCAGGTAGCAGACTTGATACTGCTGGATGGAGCTCCCAATCTGCTACATAGTCAGATGCAGGACAACGAACAGTTGAGGTCAAAGGGTAAAACAGATGATCAGGTGAGGTCAAAGGGTAAAACAGAGGATCAGGTGAGGTCAAAGGGTAAAACAGAGGATCAGGTGAGGTCATAGGGCAAGACAATAAATGTTCTGGTGAGGTCAAAGGGTAAAACAGATGATCAGGTGAGGTCATAGGGTAAAACAGATGATTAGGTGAGGTCATATGGTAAAACAGATGATTAGGTGAGGTCATAGGGTAAAACAGATGATCAGGTGAGGTCAAAGGGTAAAACAAATGATCAGGTGAGGTCATAGGGCAAGACAAATGTTCTGGTGAGGTCAAAACATGATTAGGTGAGGTCAAATGGTAAAACAGATGATCAGGTGAGGTCAAAGGGTAAAACAAATGATCAGGCGATAGGCAAGACGAATGTTCTTGTGATGTCAAAGGGTAAAACATGATTAGGTGAGGTCAAATGGTAAAACAGATGATCAGGTGAGGTCAAAGGGTAAGACAAATGATCAGGTAAGGTCAAAGAGTTAAACATATGATCAGGTGAGGTCAAAGGGTAAAACAGATGATCAGGTGAGGTCAAAGGGTAAAATAGATGAGCAGGTGAGCTCGAGGTCAGAGGGCAAGACAAATGGTCTGGTGAGATCAAAGAGTTAAACATATGATCAGGTGAGGTCAGAAGGCAAGGCAAATGTTCTGGTGAGGTCAAAGGGTAAAACAGATGATTAGGTGAGGTCAAAGGGTAAAACAGATGATAAGGTGAGGTCAAAGGGTAAAACAAATGATCAGGTGAGGTCAAAGGGTAAAATAGATGATCAGGTGAGCTCGAGGTCAGAGGGCAAGACAAATGGTCTGGTGAGATCAAAGTTTAAGACAATTGAACAGTAAGGTCAAAGGGTGAGACAGATTATTAGAAAAGGTTCCGGTGCAACACTTATGATCAGGTGATGTCAGAGTGGGAGACGTGCTCCGACAACAAGATAGATGATCTGTTCAGGAGTTGTTTGATTGTTGGTTAAATAGAGGACGCTCAGTCACTGTTCATGCCATCTCCAGGAAAGTATGGTGACAACATTGGTGGAAGATTGCAGGGAACCATTGTTTAAAACGGCATTAACAAACTTTTGAAAACCACTTTTAATGTTATTTGCTGTAATTGTTGTTGAGTGATTTACTGTACATCTGGACATTTTTTCCCAGTCAAACTTTAGCCTTTCGCCAGAATGACCTTATTCACCCAGTGCTAATTTCACCCTTCGCCAGAATAATCCTTATTCACCCAGTGTTAATTTCACCCTTCGCCAGAATGATCCATATTCACCCAGTGTTAATTTTGCCCTTCGCCAGAATGATCCATATTCACCCAGTGTTAATTACGCCTTCACATTTAATGCATATTACGCTGTTTACTTATGTTCACTGTAATGATTAATTCGCATTCGAACTATCAGAATTTTGCATTATAAAGTATTTGCTGCAGCTGTTTGAGTGAAGGGCTGTGTGTTGTAGATATCGACCATGTTTGAGGTGGGCAGTCTTCTGAGCTACATGTACATGTTCAAGGCTATGGAGAACCCGAGTCTGACCAAAAAAATCCTGGCCAACCTGCCTTCCCAACAGGCACGTATTGATACCGCAGTGGACATGACGTTTGGTAACGTCACTATAGGGTAGGTAACTCTATATAAGTTACTATAGGGTAGGTAACTCTATATAATATACTATAGGGTAGGTAACTCTGTATAAGTTACTATAGGGTAGGTAACTGAATATAAGTTACTATAGGGGAGGTAACTCTGTATAAGTTACTACAGCGTAGGTTACTCTGTATAAGTTACTTTAGGGGAGGTAACTCGGTATAAGTTACTTTAGGGTTGGTAACTCTGTATAAGTTACTATAGGGTAGGTAACTCTGTATAAGTTACTTTAGGGGAGGTAACTGTATAAGTTACTATAGGGGAGGTAACTCTGTATAAATTACTATAGGGTAGGTAACTCTTTATAAGTTACTTTAGGGTAGGTAACTCTGTATACTATGTACGTTACTATAGGGTAGGTAACTCTTTATAAGTTACTTTAGGGTAGGTAACTCTGTATAAGTTAATATAGGGTAGGTAACTCTGTATAAGTTACTATAGGTTAGGTAACTCTGTATAAGTTAATATAGGGTAGGTAACTCTGTATAAGTTACTTTAGGGTAGGTTACTCTGTATAAGTTACTATAGGGTAGGTAACTCTGTATAAGTTACTATAGGGTAGGTAACTATGTATAAGTTTCTATAGGGTAGGTAACTATGTATAAGTTACCATAGGGTAGGTAACTATGTAAAGTTACTATTGGATAGGTAACTCTGTATAAGTTACTATAGGGTAGGTAACTCTGTATAAGTTACCATAGGGTAGGTAACTATGTAAAGTTACTATTGGATAGGTAAGTCTATATAAGTTACTATAGGGTAGGTAACTCTGTATAACCTACTATAGGGTATGTAACTCTGTATACGTTATTATAGGGGAAGTAAGTCTATATAAGTTACTATAGGGTAGGTAACTCTGTATAAGTTACTATAGGGTAGGTAACTCTAAATAAGTTACTTTAGGGTAGGTAACTCTGTATAGGGTAGGTAGCTCTGTATAAGTTACTATAGGGTAGGTAACTCTGTACAAGTAACAATAGGGTAGGTAACTCTGTATAAGTTACTATAGGGTAGGTAGCTGTGTAAGTTACTATAGGGTAGGTAACTCTATATAAGTTACTATAGGGTAGGTAACTCTGTATAAGTTACTATAGGGCAGGGAACTCTGTATAAGTTACTATAGGGTAGGGAACTCTGTATAAGTTAATATCTTATATAAGAAATCTGTTTATGCAATACAGCTTATATTTTCACAATTACTCGTTCATGGCAAAAAACTCACATTCTTTTCCACACCGTGATAATTTCCAATTGAACAGTTATCATGACATTGGAGGCATAGTTGGCTTATTGTGGCTGGTGGTTGTTCAGTAAATTCCAAATCTACCTGTTGATTATTTTGCTCCCTACAGAGCCAGTCCTAGGCACACAAAATGGCTGACAGCCAAGCACAAGATTTTGAAGAAATTGAAAGAGCCAGTTGAAGATCACGCAAAGTATGGGATGGCTGAAGCTGCCCAAGAATTGGTGCGTCTGAAGAGGATTGAAGCCGCCAGCGATCACATCAAGTCAATAAAGATGGTGTACAACTTCAGGGCTCACCATAACAGACAGTTTAATGGTAAGTTCATTCAAATAGTGTACAACTTCAGGACTCACCATAACAGACAGTTTGTCGGTAAGTCCATACAGATAGTGTACAACTTCAGGGCTCACCATAACAGACAGTTTAATGGTAGGTCCATAAAGACAGTGTACAACTACAGGGCTAACCATAACAGACAGTTTGATGGTATGTCCATACAGATAGTGTCCAACTACAGGGTTCGCCATAACAGACAGTTTGATGGTAGGTCTTCAGGACTCACCATAACAAACAGTTTGTCGGTAAGTCCATACAGATAGTGTACAACTTCGGGGCTCACCATAACAGACAGATTGATGGTAGGTCCATACAGAAAGTGTACAACTACAGGACTCATCATAATAGACAGTTTAATGGTAGGTCCATACAGATAGTGTACAACTACAGGGTTCGCCATAACAGTCAGTTTGATGGTAAGTCCATACAGATAGTGCATCGACCACAACTTCAGGGCTCACCATAACAGACAGTTTGATGGTAGGTCCATACAGATAGTGTACAACTACAGGGATCACCATAACAGACAGTTTGATGGTAGGTCCATACAGATAGCGTACAACTACAGGACTCATCATAATAGACAGTTTAATGGCAGGTCCATACAGATAGTGTACAACTACAGTGCTCACCATAACAGACAGTTTAATGGTAGGTCCATACAGATAGTGTAGTACTACAGGGCTCACCATAACAGACAGTTTAATGGTAGGTCCATACAGATAGTGTACAACTACAGGGCTCACCATAACAGACAGTTTGATGGTAGGTCCATACAGATAGTGTACAACTACAGGGCTCACCATAACAGACAGTTTGATGGTAGGTCCATACAGATAGTGTACAACTACAGGGCTCACCATAACAGACAGTTTGATGGTAGGTCCATACAGATAGTGTACAACTACAGGGCTCACCATAACAGACAGTTTGATGGTAGGTCCATACAGATAGTGTACAACTACAGGGCTCACCATAACAGACAGTTTGATGGTAGGTCCATACAGATAGTGTACAACTACAGGGCTCACCATAACAGACAGTTTGATGGTAGGTCCATACAGATAGTGTACAACTACAGGGCTCACCATAACAGACAGTTTGATGGTAGGTCCATACAGATAGTGTACAACTACAGGGCTCACCATAACAGACAGTTTGATGGTAGGTCCATACAGATAGTGTACAACTACAGGGCTCACCATAACAGACAGTTTGATGGTAGGTCCATACAGATAGTGTACAACTACAGGGCTCACCATAACAGACAGTTTGATGGTAGGTCCATACAGATAGTGTACAACTACAGGGCTCACCATAACAGACAGTTTGATGGTAGGTCCATACAGATAGTGTACAACTACAGGGCTCACCATAACAGACAGTTTGATGGTAGGTCCATACAGATAGTGTACAACTACAGGGCTCACCATAACAGACAGTTTGATGGTAGGTCCATACAGATAGTGTACAACTACAGGGCTCACCATAACAGACAGTTTGATGGTAGGTCCATACAGATAGTGTACAACTACAGGGCTCACCATAACAGACAGTTTGATGGTAGGTCCATACAGATAGTGTACAACTACAGGGCTCACCATAACAGACAGTTTGATGGTAGGTCCATACAGATAGTGTACAACTACAGGGCTCACCATAACAGACAGTTTGATGGTAGGTCCATACAGATAGTGTACAACTACAGGGCTCACCATAACAGACAGTTTGATGGTAGGTCCATACAGATAGTGTACAACTACAGGGCTCACCATAACAGACAGTTTGATGGTAGGTCCATACAGATAGTGTACAACTACAGGGCTCACCATAACAGACAGTTTGATGGTAGGTCCATACAGATAGTGTACAACTACAGGGCTCACCATAACAGACAGTTTGATGGTAGGTCCATACAGATAGTGTACAACTACAGGGCTCACCATAACAGACAGTTTGATGGTAGGTCCATACAGATAGTGTACAACTACAGGGCTCACCATAACAGACAGTTTGATGGTAGGTCCATACAGATAGTGTACAACTACAGGGCTCACCATAACAGACAGTTTGATGGTAGGTCCATACAGATAGTGTACAACTACAGGGCTCACCATAACAGACAGTTTGATGGTAGGTCCATACAGATAGTGTACAACTACAGGGCTCACCATAACAGACAGTTTGATGGTAGGTCCATACAGATAGTGTACAACTACAGGGCTCACCATAACAGACAGTTTGATGGTAGGTCCATACAGATAGTGTACAACTACAGGGCTCACCATAACAGACAGTTTGATGGTAGGTCCATACAGATAGTGTACAACTACAGGGCTCACCATAACAGACAGTTTGATGGTAGGTCCATACAGATAGTGTACAACTACAGGGCTCACCATAACAGACAGTTTAATAGTGAGTCCATACAGATAGTGTACAACTACAGGGCTCACCATAACAGGCAGTTTAATGGTAAGTCCATACAGATAGTGTACAACTACAGGGCTCACCATAACAGATAGTGTACAACTTCAGGGCTCACCATAACAGACAGTTTAAGGGTGAGTCCATACAGATAGTGTACAACTACAGGGCTCACCATAACAGACAGTTTGATGGTAAGTCCATACAGATAGTGTACAACTACAGGGCTCACCATAACAGAAACCAGTCAGCCAAATTGAGCATACCCCATAGTTTTTGCAAACTAGAGCTTGCGCATAAAATTTAATTACATCTTTCTAACGTGTACGGTAAATTTACCGTTAACGGTTTTAATTTCATCATGTCGCCTTTTCCACATTGCAGCAACAGAGATTTCTAAATTGGTGACGTCACATCATTGTTGAGCCATTGTGACGTCAAGTCACGTGATATGGGAGTGTAAGATAGAAATTTCCTACACCCTTTCTTACCCTGGACAGCTCTATCTTACACACAGTCAGGGAAAGGAACACGTGGTACTCGCATACAAAATTTGGCAACCATAGGTGTGGGTAATATTCAACCACAAATTCATAGGTCCACAAAGTAGTTACAAGCTTGATTTCTCCACATTCATGTTAACCAACAAAATGGTGTTTAATTGAGAAACCACAAAATTTGGGCCCCACGAAAATGTCTGATTTCACATTATATGGAATACGTCACAAATTACGAGCCACACAGACAAACAGACAAATGAAATGAGTGCACTATAACCTTGAGTACGATCCATTAGTACTGGTAGTTCACTATAACCTTGAGTACGATCCGTTAGTACTGGTAGGGGACTAAACAACTTGTGTACTAGATAACCTCTATGTGATGATAAGGCACTGGAGAATTTAAGCAAGGCTCCAAAAACCAACCACACCTTGCTTGACCTAAGGAATGACCACAAGTCAATTTCACATGAAAAGTGTTGACATCACCACTCAATAACTGTAATACAAAATTGCTTGGCATGAAGAATACACTCTTCGGACCAGGTGAGCATATGCCATCCGTACATCAACAATTTCTTCAAACGACTTCTTCTTCTTAACCACTGATTGGGATTTGACAAAATTTGACTGGAAGAATCCCTAGGTGGTGGGGATTCAAAATTGTACAAATGATGGGACTTACCCCCCAGGGGGCTGAGAGGCGGGGCCAAAAGGGGGCAATTTGGTTATATTGCTATAAACGACTTCTTCTGTAGAACTATGCACTGGATATCAATCATATTTGGTCGGAAGATTCATGGGAGGTGGGGATTCAAAATTGTACAAATGGTGGGGCTGACCCCCGGGACTAAAGGGAGGGGCCAAAAACCATTCATTACTTAGAAATGGTTGAGATCCCCACCCTATAAACGTATATACAATTGCTGAGTATAAAATGAAGATTTATGCACATATGCTTCCAGGATGGCCCTGGGGTATGGCCCCACCCTTGGACATATTCCGTGGGTCATAACTTTGAAATGGTAAGAACTATATATACAAATGGTGGGAATAAGGAGACGAATGCAGTCATGATATTAGAATGGACCCTCGGGTCTGGCCAAACCCCTAGGGACCTAGTTCTGAGCTTGAACACAGTTAGGATTCCCACCTTATAACTATATATACAATTGCTGAGTGTAAAGAGAAGAATGCACATATGCTTCCAGGATGGCCCTGGGGTCTTCCCCACCCTTGGAGACTTAACCCCTGGATCATAACTTCGAAACGGTTGAGGTCCCCAACCGAAAACTATATATACAAATGCTGGGCATAAAGAGGCGAATGAAGTCATGATATTAGAATTGATCTTGGGGTCTGGCCACAACCCTAGGGATCTAGTTTCTCAGCCACAGCTTGGAAACAATTGAGATACCCACCCCATAACCATACATAAAATTGCTGGGCATGAAAAATCTAATACAGATATGCTACAAGAATTGACCTTGGGGTCTGGCCCATTCCCTTGGATCTTATTTCGAGAATATTTTGCCAGAATTGCTTAGATATTCAGGTGAGCGATACAGGCCCTCTGGGCCTCTTGTCTGGTTGTCCTACCAACCCAAACAGATTGAATAGTCCTCCTTATAGCTTGTATTTATTGTATTCGTTTAATAAATTGGTATGGTATTCAGCAGGGTTTAAATGAAATACCAGGTGTTATTAAGGCCCTTTGGGCCTCTTGTTATTTATATTTTCTTCTTCAATATTGTAAATAGATCTGAAGGGAAGTCAATTTAACAGAAAATATTGTAATGTGTATACATGTGTATGTCATTTTATTTGAACAAGACAAGAGTCTGATTTCTCCGGAAATTACATGTAACAGCAGTGTAAGTCATTGGAGATAGGTTTTATACAGGGTTACACTAGAAATCAATGCAGCACAGACTGAAATTTAGGGCTCTAAATTAGCAGTCGTCGTTAATACTTGTCTATACCTCACAAAACCTGACGTTAAAGTTGGGTGAACACATGATCACTTGATAGATAAGGTTACAAGAACATGTAATATCACAAATTAGTATTATTGATTATTTATTTTTTTGTCTTCTGCCTAACACGGTCCAAGGGTCCATGATTTACTTAAAAGGCCAAGATCTATATAAAGATTACTCAATGTTTCCAAAATATTAACTCATGATCTCCTGTAAACATTAGATTTCAGGGTTTTTTTAATTTTTAAATCACCTGGGCCCTAATTAATGAAACTTTTCATGCTCAACCATGGATTTCGTACTCAAACCAACTTTCTTTTAACTTGCTAAAACATGTGACGCGGTCAGATAGTCAAGTGTGAACAATTAAAATAGAATACAGCTTGAAGTCTCTTCTAAATTCTTCCAAAAATGTTGACAAAATGGGAGTTTATAATTGATTAATCACCGAAACAAGAAATTAGGATTGAGCACAGAATTTGAGTTGCAGCCTGCATATGAGAACGGTTTCATGAATACGAGCCCTGGTACAAAGTGTCATCCATTATTAGTATTATGGGATGTCATCCATTGTATCTTTTTCTATAAAACCTAAAAAAAACTTAGGGTCAAAATAAATGGTTTATACCTAGTTCTGGTGAAGGGCCATCAAATAAGTTCATATAGATGACAACAATCTATTTTCAAGATTACAAGGGGCAAATGCATTTAAAACTGAAACAACTTCTTTTACAGAGCTATGAGGTACATAGTCATGATTTTTGGCCTTAGATTTACTTAACAATGTTCTGTAAAAGCTGGTTGTGTTAAAAGCCTATGATAAATGTCACTGATGATCTGGCTTGTGTAGATTTGTGACCCTTTGTTATTTGAGCCACTAATTTGCCTGGGGCAAATTTTGCATGCCAGTATCTCTTGAGATGTATGTGGAGCATTGCTTAATAATATCCGATCCTGTATCCAATTATATATACATTTCCTGGTGCATCCAGATTCAGTGACATCACTCGAGTGACTCATTTACCCCTGAAATGTCATAATGAACTATTCCAACCTTTGAATCGGAAGAATTCAAATGTGTTTTCAGGGGTGAATGAGTTAATGGATCAAAATACCCCAAATAAGATAATATTTTAGTGTTCCAATATCAAGGCCAAGCTCAGTCATTTCTAACCAGACTTTGATCAAACCTTATGCAAGAAAAAATATGAGACCCTCGGATCAGAGTGCAAAGGTCAAGGGCAGTGTCATCCATAATATTTATAGAATATATAAACAATGACGCTGATTTAAATGTGAGAAGGAGCGCTCTTGTCGTACAGACATTTTCTAACAATTTCCAGGCAACACCAGTGTTTGTAGTAATTCTAACAATGTTGTATTTATAGGCAACATCTATCTGCTGAGGATAAAGTCGGACCCTCAGTTTCTGACCCACCACCTCTCGCCCGACTACGACCTCCACGACTGGTGTACCGGTAAGGTCCAGATCAAGTTCTACGAAGGCACACATGAAAGCTTCCTCAGCGGAATTAACGCCCCTAACGTGGCCAGGGACATCACCGAGATTCTCGCTAAATTGTGAACGTCACAGAACCCCAGAACCGCGAAGGTGTCATGAACAAAACAATTCCTTTCATGACATTGAGAGTGTGTACGTACCTGAATTTCTTTTGCAGGAAATAAAATGAGGCCAAGGCAATAACAAAGATGCGTGAAAGTAATGGTTAACATATAAACCAGACTGTAACCTGAACAATCAACATTAAGTGGATCTCAATTGACTCTTAAATATGTGATTTCAGACTTGATCAACTCATTCACCCCTTAAATTTCATAATGAACTATTCCAAAATTTGAATTGGAAGAGTGCAACACTGGTGTTGCCTGTGTCTTCAGGGGTGAATGAAGGCCCTTTTGTAGATTCAATATTATATGTCAGTGTTTTGATGTCGCATCAAAAGAACATTCTCCAGGATATATATATATATATATATATAGTGCTAGTGTGAGTGTTTTTAAGCTTTGATTTAATTGTTTATACTGATACCTGAATTGGGAAATTTAAATTTGGATACTGTATGAATCTCGCCTCTGTTGAACTTTTGTCTTTTACGGTTTTCGTATCAAGGGTGAACTTATCATTACAGCGAATATTAGCCTAGTTACCAACAGAATATTTATATGTGAAGTACAAATTTAACACTGGGTGAATATTTCATATAGCTGGAAAAGGGGGAAAATTTGACTGGGTATATAGAATTTCCCTAAAAAATTCTGATGTAAAGACATTTACCTTTCTTTATGATTCCATGGATTGAATCCATTGATTGTTATTTTCTGAAGTATGATTATTTATTTCTCTGAAATTTTCAAATTATATCAGTTTTAATGTAAATGTAACACTGATTATGATGAGAAATTACAAGATTTAATGGTTTTTGTATGTCTCACAATTCATTATACATTTGTCAATCCAACATTATACATACATGTGTCAATCTGACATTATACATACATGTGTCAATCCGACTTTATATGACATACATGTGTCAATCCGACAGTATACATACATGTGTCAATTCAACATTATGCATACATTTGTGAATCAAACATTAAACATACCTGTGTCAATCCGACATTATACATACATGTGTCAATCTGACATTATACATACACGTGTCAATCTGACATTATACATACATGTGTCAATCCAATATTATACATACATGTGTCAATCCGACATTATACATACACGTGTCAATCCGAAATTATACATACATGTGTCAATCCAATATTATACATACATGTGTCAATCCGACATTATACATACACGTGTCAATCCGACATTATACATACATGTGTCAATGTGACATTATACATACACGTGTCAATCTGACATTATACATACATGTGTAAATCCAATATTATACATACATGTGTCAATTCGACATTATGCATACATGTGTCAATCCAATATTATACATACATGTGTCAATTCGACATTATACATGTGTCAATCAAACATTATACATGTGTCAATCAGACATTATATATCCCTGTGTCAATCTGCCATCATACATACATTTGTCAATCCGACATTATACATACACGTGTCAATCCGACATTATACATACATGTGTCAATGTGACATTATACATACACGTGTCAATCTGACATTATCGGTACATGTGTCAATCCAATATTATACATACATGTGTCAATCCGACATTATACATACACGTGTCAATCCGACATTATACATACATGTGTCAGTCCGACATTATATGACATACATGTGTCAATCCAACATTATTCATACATGTTTAATCCATCATTATACATGTAAATACATGTGTCAATCCAACATTATACATACATGTTTAATCCATCATTATACATGTACATACATGTGTCAATCCAACATTATACATACATGTGTCAATCTGACATTATACATACATGTCAATCCAACATTATACATGTGTCAATCCAACATTATACATGTGTCAATCCAACATTATGACATACATGTGTCAATCCAACATTATTCATACATGTTTAATCCATCATTATACATGTACATACATGTGTCAATCCAACATTATACATACATGTGTCAAACTGACATTATACATACATGTCAATCCAACATTATACATGTGTCAATCCAACATTATACATGCGTCAATCCAACATTATGACATACATGTGTCAACCCAACATTATATATACCTGTGTCAATCCGCCATTATATATACCTGTGTCAATCCGCCATAATACATACATTTGTCAATCCAACATTATACATACATGTGTCAATCCAACATTATACATACATGTCAATCAAACATTATACATACATGTGTCAACCTGACATTATACATACATGTGTCAATCAAACATTATATGACATACAGGTATCATTATCAATCCATGACTGTATTCGCCGTTATTAGTGCCCCTCACCCTCTTTGATGAAGATTTAAAATGATAAATGATATATAATTATATACTTAACCCTTCCACCTCCAAGCCCTGATCAGGCTCAGTCAATGTTTTACAGTACTTTACAGTTACATTAAAGCAGAGATTTATTTCAGTTGATCATGGCTGGAGTCCCTGTGAAGCTGATGAAACCTTTGATAACCAAACCTCCAGCCACACTGGAATATTTAAAATGTCCTTCTGTTATACTTTAACAACGATTGAAGTTACTCAATGTGTTCTATCATAACAGACATCAATTATAAATCTTATAAGGGCCCCTATTTAAGCTAATTCTTAAGTGCCTTTGGGTGCTAATTACCGCCGTTATACATGTGTTCAAATGAGGTTATGATTATTGATTTATATCTATCAGTTGTTATTTTTCATAGTTTTGAAACGTTTATATTTTTCATAGTTTTTTCAGATATATATTTTGATATGCATTTACATTCTTTGTTTTACATTTGTTGATTTTTATGTATGATAAACAGATGTAAAAAAGCAATGTGTTTTATTTATTTTATTTTTTGGGGAATAAAATTGTAATGATCAAAGCCTCTATAAAGATACATTTACATGAATTTTAAAAATTACTTCAAAAGATTGATTTTCGCATATTTTCAACAACTATTTTGGTAGTTAATTTCTCGTTATGAATAAGCTTCAAAATCCCATCTTAATGAGTTGTTACCTGTACAAGGACCACAATCAATTTTCGTGTAAAGGCCAATCAATCATACGTCTTAAGGACTCTTGAACCACTGACCAAACTGTAACTACTCGTTAAAAACTGGGGGGTTTTCCGGCAAGACAAAAGCTTAGATAAATACTTTTTTTTAAAGTAAATCGTGCCTTGCGGGACTAGAGTGGGAATCCAACCTAGACTTCACATTTTTATACTTTTAAGCAACCAAGCTACCTGGTCAGATTAAGTTCACATTAGGTCACATTGGCGTTTCACATTGGTTGAAACGGTTCAGGTGGGGCAGAAATATTCCACGATAAACGAACGTACTTGGATCGAACTGTAGGCAGAGCTAAGGCATGCAGTAAATATATCGCGAATAATATGTCCTTCTTTCATGCATTTACACTCAATTATATAACGTACAACATTAAAATCTACATGTGGATTGAGCTTGTTTTATAAAGAAATAACACAAACTAGCATTTTAGTTTCAGTCAGGCACGTCTGTCTGGACCCCCTCAATCTACGTGCGACGAAAATTCCTGAGGTCATCCTAGGTTCAGATCTGTGCCTGTCATTTAATTTCAGGTTCAACAGTTTCAACTGGTTGAACCGAATATGTGAACAGGGCCATACATCCATAACAAAATTAAAGGGAGGTTATTACTGTATATATACAAAAAATCACAGTGTAGTGGGACAGGGACCCTTAACAGATCACATGTAATTTAAGACGGGAAGAGTTGACAGAACACGTACATGTATCAAGGCTAAACAGATCACATGACAATGTCAACAGACTGTAAAAACATGAGAGTTCTTGAAATGTCAAGAACTTGATCATGTAAGGAAAAATATAATGTACTAAATGCCAAGGGACTCCATAACGTAGTGTAATGAGAGATCTGATTTTAATTAGATTGATATTGTACCAACGAGCCAGACAAAATATCCATAAAATGCATATGATGGAATATTTTATTGCGATAACATAACGGAATTTCATTGGTTTTAAAATATACTGTATAAGACAGGACATCAAAATAGTCTAAAGTAAGGTGAATCTAGTGTTTGTGATGTTTTATCAGTTTTAGATGTCGTTAAAATCGGATTTAGAATCTCCCATTTTATTGGAAATGCTCCCAACACATGGCATTAACTTACTATACAACATGTGTACTTGAAGTGTATAAACTATATCGAGGTCAGCAGTCCACATTTTATGTTCATAAAGTATGTCGAGTTCAGCAGTCCACATTTTATGGTTCACAAAGTATGTCGAGGTCAGCAGTCCACATTTTATGGTTCATAAAGTATATCAAGGTCAGCCATCCACATTTTATAGTTCATAAAGTATATCAAGGTCAGCAGTCCACATTTTATTGTTCACAAAGTATGTCAATGTCAGCAGTCCACATTTTATGGTTCACAAAGTATGTCAAGGTCAGCAGTCCACATTTTATGTTCACAAAATATATCAAGGTCAGCAGTCCACATTTTATGGTTCATAAAGTATATCAAGGTCAGCCGGCCACATTTTATAGTTCATAAAGTATATCAAGGTCAGCAGTCCACATTTTATTGTTCATAAAGTATGTCAATGTCAGCAGTCCACATTTTATGGTTCACAAAGTATGTCAAGGTCAGCAGTCCACATTTTATGTTCACAAAGTATATCAAGGTCAGCAGTCCACATTTTATTGTTCACAAAGTATATCAAGGTCAGCAGGCGACATTTTATGGTTCACAAAGTATGTCAAGGTCAGCAGGCCACGAGTGAAGAATTACAAAAATAAGTGTCTGTAAAAAATTACAAAACAGGTCAAGGCCTACAGACTTTGTGTAACGTGTGTATTTGAAGTGTATAAAGTATATCAAGATCAGCAGTCCACATTTTATGGTTCACAAAGTATATCAAGGTCAGTAGTCCACATTTTATGTTCACAAAGTATATCAAGGTGAGCAGTCCATATTTTATGATTTACAAAGTATGTCAAGGTCAGCAATCCACATTTTATGGTTCACAAAGTATGTCAAGGTCAGCAATCCACATTTTATGTTCACAAAGTAAGTCGGGGTCAGCAGTCCACATTTTATTGTTCACAAAGTATATCAACGTCAGCAGTCCACATTTTATGGTTCACAAAGTATATCAAGGTCAGCAATCCACATTTTATGGTTCATAAAGTATGTCGAGGT